TTTAAATAGGACTACTGTGACTGATAAAGTATATCTTTATTTTAGAAATGTAAATTAATTTAAAGAGCCACATGTCACTGGTGCCTTCCATATTGGGACAAAGCACCTAATGGTGCCCTGCGAGTGGCCTAGGAGATAATCACCACATGCATGGATGGATTTGCCCCCTAACACTTCTTTCAGTGCAGCTGGACGTTCAGAAACTATGGGCATGTCCCGGCCCGATCTTCTGCCCAATGTGTCCCAAGGGTATCAGGTCTACATGGCCTACAGCAGTGACTAAAAAACCCTGGAGAGATCCTTGATGTCAGGACCTGGCCAGACCGTCCACAACTGCAGGCCACGGGTGTCACTGCAGGGACCTCACCAGCTGTTTCTTTCCAGATGGGGACACTGATGAAACTGCAGATTCCCACAGGACTCCCACAGGAGTGGTGTGCTTGTGATATCACATGGCAGTGAAGATGGAGAGAATTAAGATTCCACAGGCTGCAGTAAACTTCAGTAACTCCTAGAAAAAGCCTCTTAACAATTTTGTCCAAGTAGCCCTTGCAGTGATGTTGGATGTCGAATATGGTATGTAAAAAACCCTAGCAGCCTCTGTTCTTATGAAGAATAAAGTCATTTAATACCCTGAGTACTGTTTGTGGCAGGTGAAAGGAAGCTGTAGTTTTCAAGTGGATATCACAGAAATATTCTCTCTTGATTGTTTCCAATGAAAAGAAAACGGAACTTGCTTTTCCTTCCCATTTAGGTCATGAGACTTCCCTCTGGTCTTCTGCAGAGGGTCAAGGATCAGTGGCCTCCAGGGACGCCACTCTGGCCTTAGGCTTGCTGCTGTTGCTGCTACATTGTGGCTGAACATGGCGTGGCTGTTGTCTCTGACTGTGAGAGGTGAGCAGTCCTCTGGGAGCTGGGAGTAAGACATGAGAGGAAAGAGCTATGTACCTGTACAGAGCAGGTGCCTGTTGTCAGCAATTCTGGCCTTTTACTGATTAGAGATTTCCATCCAAAGTCCTGGATTCACCCAAAATTGGGCTATTAAATATATAAACTGAGCTGTGTCATTCCACAAGTCACAACTGTTAAAAAATAAAGCTAACAGAAAAACTGGGGAGTGTTTTTATGTCTCAGACATGAGAGACAGGTCGCCATGGGCTGGTAGAGTCCTAGGAGCTGTCCAGGTGCTGAAAACATGGTGAAAGAGGGTTAAAGAGTTTTTTTGGATAGTCTGAGGTCCCCTGTGCTCTCTGTCTAAACACACGTGTTCGGAGGGACGCGTCCCCGCTGCTGCCTCCTGCTAATGAGTGAGGAAACTGCCTTCTTATATCAGGGTGGTAACCAACATTAAGGATTATAATAATCTTGTTTTTCAGTTAGGATTTTATGTTGTTGCAGCTTAAATAGGGATTCATTTGGGAAATAAATAATGGATACTGTTAACTTAGGAAAATTCACTTGGCCAGAATTTTCCTTTTTTGAAAGTGAAAATTCTCAAAACATACTACAGAGAGTGACATAATGAATGCCTACACGCAAACACAGAGACTTTGCAATTATTATAATTGTGCCATATTTGCTTCACATTTTCTATTGTTAAAGATTGTAGGTTAGAGACATCACAAGAGTTCACTCCTAATTAATCAGTCTGCACCTATACCAAAGGACACATGATTTCCTACAAGACCATGCTAGCATTTTGCACCTAAAAACCTCAAAAAAAATTTTCTGCACGTCTTCCAATAGTCAGTTAGGAAGTGTTTTTCAAAAAACGATTAACATCAGAAAGTGGGGGAAATGGGGAGCCTGGGTGTCTCAGTGAGTTGAGCATCCGACTTCAGGTCAGGTCATGATCTCGCAGTTCGTGAGTTTGAGCCCTGCGTCGGGCTCTGTGCTGACAGCTAGCTCAGAGTCTGGAGCCTGCTTCAGATTCTGTGTCTCCCTCTCTCTCTGACCCTCCTCTGCTCACATTCTCTCTCTCTCAGAAATAAATAAAACATTTTTTGAAAATTTTTTTTAAAAGTGGGGGAAATATCGGCCATTGAGAACAGGCCATGAGAAATGATATTTCCATGGCTAAGAATTTAGGAGTTCCAAAGAAGAACCAACAGAAAAATCCCTTTTTTAAAAATAATGTTTTACTTATTTCTGAGAAAGAGCGAGAGAGAGCAGGGAAGAGTCAGAGAGAGAGGGAGATACAGAATCTGGAGCAGGCTCCAGGCTCTGAGCTAGCTGTCAGCACAGAGCCCGACGCGGGGCTCAAATCCACAAACCACAAGATCATGACCTGAGCCGAAGTCGGACTCTTAACCGATGGAGCCACCCAGGTGCCCCGAAAAATCCCTTTGTAAAAAGAAAAAAGAAACTACTGTTTTTACCATGAAGCCACAGGACAGCCCTATAATTACATATGTGAGAACTTGCCTGTGTCTCTGTCTGGTGTACCAATACGTCCTAACTTGTCCTAATCTGTAAGAACCACTGAACCCAAGAAACTGTATCTCTGCTTTCTCATTGATGCATACCGGCGCACAAAGTGTCCGGGCAGTCATTACTCAAAAAGTAAGCAAGAAGCTTACTGTGACCAGAAACTGTGAGTTTTAAGTCTTCTGAAGACTCTGGACACAGTTCTGGTCAATATAGAACTCTATTCTCACGGCTGTGGTCCTGGGGTCTTCAGGAAGCACTGAGGCACGTTTCCAGTCACAGCCAACAACAGCGCCCTCAGCTACGTCCTGCTCACCTCCCACACCTTCTGGTTGCTCTGCTCCTTACACTCCACCCGCTGTCCCGCCACAGCCACCGACATGCTCCAGCAGACCGCATTTGGAGTGGGTTTTATACTTTGGCTGTTTTTATGCTATGGTTTTTTTCCAATGTTTTGGCCCAAACCATCACTGTGGGGTTGGTCTTCAAGGTCACTACATCAGGGAAGGAGGGCAGCAGTAAGGGAACCTAACTCCATCATCTGCATCTGCTCCCTGAGCCCCAGCTCCCCATAGGGTCTGGCTGGGAACCTCGCCCCCTTCACGGACACAGACACACACTCTGAGCCTGGGTATGTCCTCCTCATGTGCAGCGAGGGCTCAGTCACTGCCCTCTATTGTGTCCTGGAATGCCTCGGCTCCGGGCCCCGGGCAGTTTCATGGTGCCTTTCCTGACGCTTCCAGCAAAGCCAAGTTCCTGACACCCAGCACACTGATGTTCTGTGGTGTCCAAGCTACCCTCCTTCCCATCTGCCACAGCACCAAGGACAAGATCATGGAGGCCGGGGAGATGGTCTCCATCTGGCCTCCAGCGAGGGGCTTCTCTGCCCCCAGGTGCGACGTTATTCCCGAAGCCTGGCCAGAACATCCCAAGAGGGGTATGGAATAAGACAGCTTCTATGGGCAAAGAAAACATTAACAGTTAAAAATAAGTCACCCATTTTACACATATTTAAGTTTTTAAATGTCTACTTTCATTTTTAAGAGAGAGAGAAAGAGCACGAACAAGGGAAGAGAGAGAGAGGGAGACACAGAATCCGAAGCAGGCTCCAGGCTCCAAACTGTCAGCACAAAGCCCAACGCAGGGCTTGAACCCACGAACCCTGAAGTCATGGCCTGAGCCAAAGTCAAACGCTTAACTGACTGAGCGACCCAGGCACCCTGCACCTATTCAGTACAAAAATCAAACTCACTGCTTACAATGTCATTGAAAAGGTGAGCTCTGAATGTTTTGCGATCATTTGAAGGCGCCAGCCTCTCGACGACCAGCGAGGCCTGGCCTTTTGGACACGTGCAAGATCCACCGCTCGTGGTGCATTCCCCTTCTTGAGCCACTGCTCTGGCCTAGGCCCCAGGTTTGCCTCAATTTCATTTTCTGTTTTCTCCAATTACAAAAGCCTTCCCTACACTAAGGTTTTGAACATGTTTCCTTTTTTAAAGTATATATTTCTTGCGGTTAGCCTCTATCTATTTTACATCTATTTCACTTTGGCGAAGGGCAAGGAGTCACCACTCCCAGACAGAGCAGGGGCTGGTTCTGAAGCCCCAGGTGCGTGACCAGAGGGAAGAGTCGGGACAAGAGAAATGCAGCTTTGCGAGTACTCCAGGAATGCAGGACACTGGACTCCGAGCCCCAGGAGCCCCAGGCACATTAGTTAAAGGTGGACACTTCCGAGATGGGAAGATTTGAGGGCAGGGTCCCAGTCAGTTGGAGGGAGGGGGTACAAGGCCAAGCAGAAAGGGGGATGAGTCGTCCAGTGCCAGGCCCACACCCCATGTGTGACCTTTTAGGCTCCACCAGAGCAGGCCTGGGGTACAGCCCTGCAGCCTCCAGCCCTTCCGACTACACTTTAGCCACATGTGAACTTCTGCCCAGGTGTTTCCATTTGGGGGCCTGTATTGGAGGAGTGGGATGGGGGCTGTGTTCAGTAGAGGCCTCCCTATTGTGAGGGGACAGCCACGAAGACACCTTTCTCCACTGACTCGCCACTTGGGGTTTCCCCAGCCCTAGCCCTCCCCCTGGGCCCAGACAACTGCAACTCCACCTGACCCCGCCCTGAGCGCTGTGCCACGGGGAAAGTGCACTGGGCGGCTGGCGCGCTCTGCAGCTTTCCCCCCTGCTGATAGGACTAGAGGAAGGCATTAAAGGCCTGGATACTACTTTCATTTGCCTTCTTGGCTTAACAGATTCACAGACAATTCTTTCAGTTTCTGGACCCAATTTCAACATCCAAGGAGGGCCCCCCAAACAAACAAACAAACCACCAAGCAATTCTTGGACACTACCAGGTACCCAAGAACTCAATTCTGACAATGTCTACCCCAAGACAGCATCAGGTTCTACAGGTTAAGGACTCGGGTCCTATAAGACTGCCCCACCCCCCACTTCAGATGCCAGTCACAAGCCCCAGGCTGTTACCTGTGCTTCTAACCTGCTGACTAGACTGGAGGTTCCCAATGACCACCTCCTCCTTAGGGTCTCTATCTGCCGGAGCGGCTCACAGAAATCAGGGATCACTGGGTTTACTAGTTTATTAAAGGGTGTGATAATTATGAATCAACAGCCAGATGAAGAGATACACAGGGTGAGGTCAGGGAAGGAGTGCCCCACTCTGCCTGCATCTCCAAAGGTCAACATTGCCACCAGCTACCTCAACTCGTGAGCTCAGCTGAGCCCCCAGCAAGGAAGCCTCTCCTCCTCTGCTATAGGAACTGTGCTCAGAATGGCCATAAGGAATAGAGACTGTCATTTAACGAGCAAACGCTCTAGTTTACTCAAAGTTCACATATACATTACACTTTACAAAAACAGCATCTGGCTGGATCTCTTGGTCCCCCACTAATCCAACAAAAGGGGCTTCTGAGGGAGCTAAGAGGACAAAGTTCCTCTTCTAAACGCTGGGGCTGCCCTGTGCACCCCCAGACCCCTGGTCCAGCGCGCAGGAGGCAGGGTTAGCGGAACGCCCACCAGCAGCCAGCACGGGGCACCTGGAGCCCGTCCAGAGCCTTCACCGCCACCCTAGTGGAGGTCCCTGCCAGGACCACGAACACGCTGAGGCAGAGACAGGCCCCACCTCAGGAGGAGGAGGCCGGGTACCCATAGTGGTTGCGGTCAGCTTCACCCAGGGTCAGCGTCAGTGACAGGCTGGGCTTCCGTCCCAGCTCCTCCTCCTCCAGGCAGCGCTGTGGGGGCCGGGACTTAAAGAAGTCAGAGACATAGCGAACCTAGGAGAGAAGATAAGAGCTGATGGGGGCAGTGGAACAGGAAGGTCGTAGGGAGTGAGGGATGGGCTCTGAGGGGGTACAATGGAGTGGGGAGGGCAGGAGGACCCCCCCCAGGGCAGGTCTCCTGGCCCAGGAGCTCACCGTGAGGCCAGCCACCAGTGCCCCCTGCAGGAGGCCAACAAGGACATCACTCCAGTGGTGCTTGTGATCAGATATGCGGGTGTAGCCAACGTAGAGAGCAAAGGCCAGCAGGAAGAACTGCACTGTGGGCCGCAGGAGCCGCGCCCACTTCCAGCAGAGCCGCGCCTGCACGTAGAGCTGGGGGCCGGAGGGCAGCCGTCAGCCCAGGAGGCCGCTGGTCTTACTCCATACCCAGGGCACAGATGGGAGTGGAGGCCAGAACACAAGGCCAGTGGGCCCAGGGCCTCCAGGTTTTACAAACAAACCAGTCAGCTCAACCCATCACCACCTTCCCGCACCCCTTTTGCAGAAGGAGAAACTGAGGCTTGGTCCCACAAGCTGATCCTGGGAAGCAGACTCACCGCCAAGAACATCATGCAGTACATCCCAAAGGAGGAGTGTCCGGAATAGAAAGACAGTCTGAGAAAGGAGAGCACACACGTCAGGAGGGGCTGCATGGGGAACAGAGCCCAGGGCCCAGGCTCAGAGGCAGGGAAGCTCACTTACATCTCTGCCTTCGAAACCCCTGGCCCCCTGTGTCCCCCACCGTCTGGGACCCAGCAGAGGGACGGTTTCATGGGGAAACACGGCCCCTTTTCATTTCCCTGACCACGCAAAGGAAAGTTTCCAAATGGGGCTCACGGTCTTTAACAAGGACACTGCAGGCAGCAAACTCAGGACCAGGGCAGACAACTGTGTGAGGCAAACAGAGAACACCACAGTTCTGGAATTATTTCCCTTCTGTGGTACTTGATGCAAGAATTAAATCCAAGGTTTAGCAAAAAGGACATCAGTGGACAAGAGGGTGGCAGATGAAGGAATCCCGAAGGTCCAGCCCTCCATAAACATACTGAAAACACTCGTACAAGCAGAATCACACCGGCAGTGGCCCCATGTACCAGCACTAGCAAAACGGACCTCTTTGCACAGAACTGTGTCTGTGATTGAGCCATCCAGTGGATCTGTAGGGGCCGTACCCCACTCTCCTGTGGCTGACACTGCTCTGAGGCCTTTACAGCAAATGTTTGTCGCTGCTGCCCAGGGGCCAGCAGGGAGCTCCAAAAAGAAGGCCTCCGCTCTCACCTCTGGCTGACCTTCAGGCGCTGCGCAAGCAGGAAGCCTGGCTGAGCGCTGAAGGCAGGCCCCACCACGGCACACAGGGCCCATCTGTAAACTCAGACAGAGATCTTTCTGCCGGTGCCAGGGGTTTCAGGAAATCTCTGTCCAAGCACTAGCTGATCGTGCAGCTAACAGAAAGACCTTCAGGGCCACACGTGACAAAGAATGCACAATTTACAAAATGAGTTCAGAAAGGTCGCTAACCAACCACCCGACAATGGTGACAAACACCAACGGCAACCGCTGGGTGTGAGGGCACAAGCGGTTCCAGGGCCCTACACGACGACATTAAAGATGCCCAGTTTTCAACCAAATAATTACAAAGCGTACAAGGGGAAAGTTAGGCCGGTACACAGGGTGAAAACAGATCTGTTAATAGGAGCTGTCCCCAGGGTCCCCGGGTGCTACACTTCCTGGACAAAGACTCCTCGATGGCCATTTAAAATCTGTTCAAAATGCAAAACAATGTCTCACTAAACAGAGAATATCAACAAAGACACAGAGGTTATCCAAAGGAACCAAACAGAAATTTCGGAGCTGAAAACAGTAAGTAGTATCTGAAGTGAAAAATCACTAGCAGATCTGAACAGGCAGAACATTGAGCATGGACCCAGGTCAGCTGAGACACTTCAGCTGGAGGGACACAGAGTAAGAGGAAGGGAGAAGAAGGAGGCACCGGGGACCCCCCCACACACAGGGGGAGCCCAAAGAGGAGAGGGGAGGGGAGACAGAAGGGGCAGAAAGAGTATTTGAAGAAATAATGGCTGAATCCTTCCCAAACCAGATCAGAAACACGAAAGCTACACATCCAGGAAGCCTGATAAACTCCAACAGCGCAGAGACACACTGTAATCAAACAGCCGAGGACAGTCGGCGAGAATGGTGCACAGCAGGAGAGGAGACCCCTCTGGTACCAGGGTCCTCCGTACGATTAGCAGCCGGTTTCTTATCTGAAGCCACGGAAGCCAGGGGCAGTGGAGTGAGACTTTCAACATAACCAAGAATTCTAGGTCTGGCAAAATTACCCCCTAAAAATGAAGGAGAAATTCAGACATTCCCAGATAAGCAAAAACTGACAGAATTCACTGCTCAAACACCTGCCCTATAAGAAATTCCAAAAGGGAGTCTTCCCCAGAAGAAATGAAGGGTGCTAGCCAGTTAACTCAAACTCACACAAAGACCTGAGAAACACCATTCAAGGTAATTACACAATACAACCGTCAGTATTAAATTACTTGTGGTTCGTAATTCCTGATTTTTTCCTAATAATTTTATGGGGCGCCTGAGTGGCTCAGTCAGTTAGGCATCTGACTTTGATTCAGGTCATGATCTCACAGTTTGTGAGTTCAGGCCCAGCGCCGGGCTCCGTGCTGACAGCTCAGAGCCTGGAGCCTGCTTCAGATTCTGTGTCTCCCTCTCTCTCTGCCCCGACCCTGCTCACGCTCTCTTTCTCTCTCTCTCTCAAAAATAAACAAATAAAGATTTAAAAAATAATTTGTTAACTGCATATACAGAGATAGGTGTTAACTAGATTTATTGCGATCATTTCAAGATAAATACAAATGTCGAATCATTATGTTACACACCTAAAACAAATACTGCATTATATGTCAATTATACCTCATTTTTTAAAAACCTGCATAAAACAGTAATTATAAACCTGAGTTGCTGAACACAATGTATAAAAATATAATTTGCTAAAATAATCTCATAAGGGGGGGCAGAGCTATATAGCCACAGACTTTGTACATAGTCAATAACTAATGTAAAAGAAGGCAGTAATGAAGAAATTTTAAAGCCGGCATAAAAGAATATGTAGAAAACAAATAACAAAATAACAGAAGCTCTTCCTTACCAGTGATTCCATTGAACATAAATGTATTAACGTCTCCGATTAAAATGCACAGATTGCAAAACAGACTTACACAGTAACGTAACTTTGCCTATGCTGTATACCTTCAAACACACAAACAGGTTTAAAGTACAAAAATGGGAAAAATATTCCATTCAAACAGCAACCAAAAGACAGGGAGAGTGGCTACACTGCTACCGGACAAAACAGACGATGAAAAGAAAAGGAAAAAAGCATTAGCAGAGACAAAGGACGTTACACAGTGATAAAGGGCACATCTATCAAGAAGCCGTGACAATTACAAAGATCAGTGCACAGAACAAGGGCCCCAAAAGAAGTGAGGCAAAAAAACACAGACACCGCCTCATGTCAGCTCGGAAACACTACAGAAGTCGAACACAAAAGGCTGCATGGTGTGTCATTCCATGAATGTGACTTGTCAGAAGAGGCACACCCTCAATAGGAACGGGGCTTCATGGGTGACAGGGGCTGGGGGGGAGGGGCAGCAGCAGGGGCCTCATAACTGATAGACATGGAGCTTCTCTTTGGGGATGGTAAAAATATTCTGGAATAAGAGGGTGGGAATGGCTGCACAACATTGTGAACGTACTAAAAATCAACAAATCGTACACATTAAAGTAGTTAAATTAGTGAATTTTAGCGATGTGAATTTTATTTCAAATTTTTAAAAGGAAAATAGGATGGCAATTAATGGAAAAGTTTATCAGAGAATGCGAGAGCACAGAGCAGAAACCGGACAGTGGGGCCTGAGATTCAGGGGGCTGTTCTGCTCCAGGGCCCCACATCCCGGCCCCAACTCACGTCCCCACACCTCCCCGACCCAGGCCCACGGGCCCCACCCGGCCTCACCCCACCTTACCCTCCAGTAAGCTCACTCTCCCGCATCCAGCTCCTAAGGGTCCTGCTCCAGTCCCCACTCCTCCTCCCCCAGGGGTGGGATGTGTGTGGCTTAGGGTCCCCGCATCGCCCGGGGTGAGGGCTGCTGGCCTAGCACCCACCTGGACTCGGTGACGTTGGCAGGGCTCCCCCTGCACACCTTCTCCACTTGCACGTACACAGAGCAGTTGACGCGGCTCCAGTCAGGGTCGCACACCGCCAGGAAGTTCGGCCGCAGACGGCCGATCATGTACTTGGCCAGGTCTGTCAGCGACTGACTCACCGCAGCCCCAAACAGGAACGTCCCCAGCACCTTGTAGACGGCTGCCACGTAGTTGTTGAAGTCGGAGCGGGAATAGAGGCGGTCTGTGTACACCAGGTAGGCCTCCCCGGCAGAGACCTGCACAGGGAGCAGCTGAGGGGCCTCATGGCTGGGCCGGGGCGGCACCTGAGAGGGTCTGTCTCCGCCACGCCCCGGCTCGCTGGGCCTCGGGCTCCCCACAGAAAGGGCTTCAGGGTTCCCAGCCTCCCTGAGGCCGCTGGGGTTCTGGGACCTCCAACGGGGGCCCTCTTCCCCAAATACCATCCGGGGCAGAACTTGGCCCCACCCCCAGCACCCGACCTACCACCCTCCAAGCCTCTCCTGCCTTACAAGGACGACGGTGGCTGTGATGGTGACCCCAGCCATGAGCCCGTGGGTGATGGTGTCTGGACGATAGGGGTACCGGATGGAGTCATCTCCACAGTAGAACCCTCGCTTGTACGGCGCGTTCACAAGCGTCAGGATGGCAAAAGGCAGAGAGGCTGGGGGCAGGGGAGAGAAGCCAGTGGCCACATGGCTCTCCCCCAGCTGTGTGCGCCCACCAGCCAGGCCCCAGGGCCACAAACGCCAGCCTTGGTCCGGCACTTGGCCACCTGCCTTGGCCTTCCCTCCCTGGTCTCCTCACCTCTGTGTCACCCTGACAGCGAGAAGGAGGTTTCCCCGTGGCGAATGAGAGCCTGCTGCCCAAATAAAACCCCCTCACAGCTCCCCATCATCCTCAGATAAACACCAGAACCTTCCCCAGGCCCATCGTGCCGCCCCCGCCCCACCCACCTCTCCCCTCACTCACTTCCATCCAGCCTCTTTTCTCCTCCCTGAAAAAAACTCCACAGGCGAACTCCTCACTGCCCCAAAACCTCTGACTACCTTCCGTCTGCCCTGAGTCCGTCCACCTTTCCTGACTGCTCACGCCGGCGCCCCTTTCACAGAATGAAATTCCTGTTCTCCACGCCTCGGGGCCTGCATGTACCTCTGCACACGGTGTGATGCTTGATTGTCACCCCCACCCATCTGTGGACACCTGAGAGGGGCCTGACATGTTCAAGGCTATCCCTGGGGCTTGGCCTGGGCAGGTGTTTAATATGCAGCTTTTAAAAGCAGATTTCTTCACTGTAAGGCGGCCACAGACCGGGAGCCAGGAGTGCACATGGAATGGGGCGGAGCTGAGACGCATTCCCGCCTTTATCCCTGAGCCGGCCAATGGCTCAGTCCATATTCAGGAGCTAATGAAAGGCATCACTGTGGTAGTGGGGTCCCAGGGCCCTGCTGAGCCAAGGGTGACAAACCCAGGCAGGGTGCCCTTTGCCCCTAGCAGGGCAGGTGACAAGTGTAAAAGGGTGTGACTCTTCTGTGGCCTGAATATGCAAGAGGCAGGGCCAACTCCTCCTCCTAAGAAACCGAATTTAGTGCTGAGTCGGGGAAACACAGAGGTCTGCCCACGGAGCTGTGAGTGTTAGGGATACAGAATCGTGAGTCAACGGTGACTGGAATCCGGGAGGTCACACGGAGAAGGTGCATCAAGGCACTGAGGTTGTCCAGGGCGGATCCAGGGAAGAGCAGCCCCAGAGAAGCAAAGGTCCCTGCCTGGATGGCTGGAACACTGGGCCTGGAGGGTATTATAAGAACGGGAATCTTTCTGTGAGTGAGGTGGGAGACACCAGGGAGCTTGGAGCAAAGGAGCAGAGCATGTTTTCCTGGGGCTCCCTCAGGCTGCTGTGAGTAAGGACAGGGTGGAGGCAGAGAAGCCAGGGAGGAGACCCCCTAAAGTTGGGGGGGAAGGGGGAGGCCGGGGCTAGAACATGCTGAGTCATCAAGTCAAGCCCCGTCCCCACAACCCAACCACGACAAGGTGCCTAGTCCCACCTGTCCCCCAGCCCCAGCCCTTTCCACTGGAGTCTCAGTCACCCTCAATCGGAATCGGAGCTGTGGATTCAGGAAGCAGAACTCAAAGCACTGAACTGGGGCCTTTCTCTGGTTCACGCCCTCAAGGCAGACACTTCCAGAACCTCCCTGCCTTTACATCACCCCCACCCCCCATATTTTCATCAGGCCCCTTGTCACCCTATGAAACTCAACTTTTTATACCATTAAGTTTCAAGAATGGGAGCTGGGTGTGCCTGGGCCTCTAGTGCCTGGCACAAAGAAGCAACACACAACCTAATATTAGCTCTGCCTGCAACTGCTGTGTGATCTCCAGCGGGTGCCCGAACCTCTCTGGGCTGAAACAGCACCTCCCTTAGACTGTTCGGTGGAAAAGGTTTAATTACTTGCATATCACTTAGTGCCTGGGATACAATAAGTGTCACACAAATGATTAAACGTAAATAACAGGTGCTCAATAAATGATGGCTAGGGCTGGCAGCCGCCCCCTGTGGGCTTCTTCCTGCTGCCACCTGACCCACTCCAAAGGGGCTTAGGGTAAGGGTTAGGGCCTGGCGCGCAATCCGACAGGGCTTTACCCCTCCGCCCTTCAGTAACCTCAGTCCCCGGCGGAGGAAAAGGAACCCCTTTTGGAGGAGCGGGGTGCGATTAGGCCCGAGGGGCCCCTCCTCGCGCCGGGGATAGAATTCCAGGGCCATTGTCCACACCGCCCCAAAGCAAACACTCGGCCTTTGTTCCCGGGACCCTGGAGGAAGGGCGGGGAGGGGGCCTCGGGCCACCCCCTCCCCCAGCCTGGCCGCAAACCCGCCGGACAGGTTTGGTCTGAGCCGCCGGAGGCGACGGGCTCATCCGTAGCCGGGGGGCCCAGCCTTTCTCTCCACTTTCCCGCCCGCCTGGGGAGGGGGTTCGAATCCCACGGAGCAGCTGCCTGTGCCCTTCGGGAACGCCGATCCTGGGAGTGGGGTGGAGATCCTCCCGGCGGTGACCGCCCCCAGCCGCGCCCCCGGCCGCCCCAAACCTGGACCGCCGCCCCGCGTGAGTCACCGCCCTGGCCGGGCGCGGCCCGGTGGGAGGCACGTGCAGCCCCCTCGGCGGCGACTTCCTGCTGCCGCGGGCCGGGGGCCGCGAACCCTGCGCGACCCCGGACGGCCGAGGAGGGGGAAGGGCACGCAGGCAGATGTGGGCGCCGAGGTCACCCTCGAGCTCCCCCACCTCCAGCCTCCCCACCCCCCCCCGCCAGAAGCCAGCCCTCGGGTGGGGGGGGGGGGAAGGGCACGCACCGCCGGGGAAGGGGTCCTCCCCGCCACGCACGGGTCCCCGCGGCTCTTACCAACCAGCACGCACAGCACGTCGAGCAGCACGAAGACCCACCTCCGCTCCATGCCGCCCCCGCCCCGGGCCGCGCCCGCGCCCCCCGACGCCGGTCCCAGCGCGTCCCGTCGCGCCCCGGCCCGGCAGCGGGGTCACATGGCCGCCGAGCTGAGCCCAGCCGGGGCGGGGCGGGGCGGGGCGTGCAGGGGAGGGCAGGGGAGGGCAGGGGAGCGGGAGCGGGGGAGGACGGGGCGGGGGCAGAGTCCGTCCGGCCACGGCGGGCGGGGAGGAGCGGGCCGGAGGGTACCTGCGCGTAGGGGCGGGAACTCTCAGCTGGGGTCGGGGGGACTGGGAGGGGTCGTCTGCGCCCCGGCCGGGAGTCAGAGTCCCCCTCATGCTGGGACGGCCGAGTCGGGGAAGGGGCGGGCGGCGACAAGGAAGAAGGGAGCGGGCGAGGGGACAGGCCGCTCTCGGCGCCTCGGCTTCCTCATGGGGAGAGGGGGACGGCACACGCGCCGCGTGCATCTTAGTATCTGAGTCAGGAAGTGCCTACAAACTGAGGGGGTGTGACGGCTTAATTGCAGGGGTTTTTCTTTCCTCTTAATGCTGGAAATCCTGGCATTCCCATGACGCGTGGCACTTCAGGAGGTCGAGCTCCTCAACACCCACCCTGGAGTGGGCGTCCTGGACTGTTCCCGTGTTGCACACCTACTGTCCCCACTTTACAGAAGAGCAAACAGAGGTGGAAGGAGGCAGAAGTGGGAGCTTGCTCACGAGCGGGTTAGGGTCTGTGCCCTGCACCCGCACAGGTCCCAGGGAGCCCTGAGCTGGGAGCTGCCCAGGAATCAAGGGCATCTAAGCTAGGGAAACTGAGGCCAAGGGACCGTCACTAGATCCTCTGGACTGAAACGGAGAAGCCTTGGGGAGAGCCCTGCTTTGACCTGGCAGAAGGAAACATGATACAAACATGAGGTTCTGTCACTCTCGGGGTCACACAGTGAGGCGGGAGGGGGGGGTGGAGTCGAACCCAGGGGGCCAGGCTCCAGAGGCTACTCCCTTGACGTCTAAAACGCATTCCCCACCACAGCCCCTACAACAATCCTTAAACACGATGTTTCTCAACCCTTTTTAGAGATGAAGGAAGCCAGACCCAGAGACAGGCAGCCCCTGACCCAGGGTCAGGGAGCTGAAGTTTAAACTCAGAGCCCCATTGACCCTGCTCCCTGGGAGGATGACCAGGCACAGGCATTTGCAGGGTGCGGGGGAACCAGGAGGGAGCAGGGGACGGTGGGGATGGGGGGCAGTGCCCAGCTGACCTGGGGCTTCTAGTCCATTAGGGTTGGATGCGATGTCCGAGCGCCAGCTCCTCTGTGTCCTGGGGCAACTTTCCTCGTTCTGAGCGGTGGGCAGAGACACTACCCCAAACGCTTACTCAAAATAACTCAGCTCACTCCCAGGACATAGCAAACGCTAGCATGGAAACTTCTGCACCCGGATTTTCCGTCTGTGGTGTGGCGGAGAGACAGTGTGGTAAGCACATCCCCAGCACTGCCCCCCCCCCACATCCTCCCTCCCGCCTTTCCAAATGCACACGCCAAGCAGTGGGGGGCGAGGGTGGGGTGGGCACATCCTAAAAAATATTCAGCTTCCTCCCTAGCCCCTAGACTTCTTCCGAGGGGTAGGAGAATCACATTTACTTGCCCAGACGGAGGGAATTTCCGGTGTCTGGGCTGGGGTGGGGCTGTCCCAAGGGTCCTGTTTCAGGCTCCGCTGGATCCAGCACTCCTCCGACTCCAACCAGCACGGCCCCGCCCCAGGTAGTCTCGGCACCGCTCACTGGCTTTCCCTGCTGCCACTCAGGGTGGGGCGGGCCCCAGGAAAACGCAGGTCTTGGACTCCAGCTCCCTTCCTCCTTTCGTTCACTCATTCATGCAACGCCTAATGAATCACGGTTTTTGTGAGAATTACCTGAGGACATGTGCGATCAGTATCCAAGATCTGTCGGATAAATGTTAGTTGGCCTCATTGCTGTATTTAACTCACTGTAACCTCTGGGTGACTGACCCAGACATGTTCAGTCAAGGCAGAGAAAGGTCAATACTACTGTGTGCTGGGTGGGGAAATCTCTGGGAACAGCGTGCCGAAGAGGGCGTGGTGGTGGGGATGGCCTGGGTAGGGTCTGCAGTGGGACCCAAGCAGTCTCTTAGGTCTCTAAGGGAGGCTCCTGCGGGCACAGAGACCGTGGGGAAGAAAAAGCATAGTCTGTTCCCTGATGAGCCAGGAGAACAGTGTGGCCATCTGCCCTCCCTGCTGACCTCGATCTGTCCTTAAAACACTGTCCTTAAAACACCTGGGCAGGGTCAAGATTAAAATCTAATGAGGGCAGCAAGGATTAGGATTAAGGTTAGGATTGGGGTCTGCTAGCTGGGCTCCTCCACACTTCAAGGAGGCTTTGCACTGGGAATCTGCCTTACATCCTTGTCAGAGAGAACCCGAAGCTAGTGGGGCCTGCTCTGGGGACAGAACCTGGGCTGGGAGCCAGGCCTGGACGGCCTCCCCCCCCACAGGCAGGTGCAGGGACTTGCCCATGTCCCCTAGAGACTGGACCAACTCCTTGGTGCCTTGTGGTCCACCAGGGAGTGGAGCTAAGGGCTCAGAAGGCGGTCAGTTCTCGTCAATCTGATGGGCTCCAGGTGCCTCACAGTGAAGTGAAGTGAAGTGAAGTGTCGTGAAGTGTAGTGTAGTGAAGATGAAGAAGAGATGCCTGGGCAGTGGGCAGAAAGGTGCTGGGCACACAGTAGGCACCACCTGAGTGCACCCACCACTCCCAGGTCTTTCTATACTTCTCTCAGAGGCTCAAGCCATACTGGGAGTTCTTCCAGACTGGGGGCTTTACCCCCTGCGAAGGGTACTGGAGTCGTACACCTGGGGAACTGTGACAGGCCAGTCTGCATGCCTCTCTGCACATCTAAGCCCTGAGGTAGCAATGAAGTGCTTGAACGGCAGCCTAACTCATTAGGAAGCACCCCTGGAGGGTTAATCAAACAGGAATGGGCAGGCAGGTACTTGGAGTCCCCTTCAAGTCACAATCTAGCAGCAGTGAATTCTGAATCCCAGGTTAAGCTGCCACCTCAGGCAGACCACCCTGACCACACACACACACACACACACACCCACCCACCCACCCACCCCCGGCCGCTCCACACCTCCGTGTCCAGCACCTCTGAGCTCTGGCACCATCTGTGTCTGTTTATCATCCTCTCCTCCCCAGCCTGAGTGCCAGTAGCGGGGGCCAGCACACAGTAGGCACTCAATCAATGCTTACTGAATCAAGAATGACCGAGGGCCCACAGCCTGGGGTTATCAGGGTGACTCCCGCTCCAGGGGTCTTCAGCCTGAGCTTTCACAGACTCTGCCAAAAACAAGAGAGACTGAGCTGCTTGCTCCTATCCAGGTGCCGTCTGGCTCCACCTGTTGCCGCCCCAGCTAGTCGGCCTCCCTAAAGCACAGCTCTGCTCCTGCTACCTCCCGAACAGACCTCCAACGCCTGAGCAGGCAGCCGGGGACACTTCCCATCACCTGGCCCTCCAATGCCCTTCGGCCTTACCACAACCTCCAGACGGAGCTGCCACACCTGCCCCCTACGTGCTCCCTGCTGCTGTCACCCCTCCACCCGGACTGCCAGACCCCTCCCTGGGAGGCTGGCTCTGCCTCTGTGGATGAGCAGCTGACGCGGGCCTGACCAGTCCCTAGTTCAGCTGCAACACACTAGAACACGTACCACTCACAGGCTTCTGCTGGAGCTACTGGGAAAGGGACACACGCTTTCTGCAGGGAGCACCGACATGAGGTCCAGTCCCTGCAGTTTCTGGTGCCATCATGGGCACCAGGGACGGAAGCGCACCTGAGGGTGAACGTACGGGAAGCGGCAGAACACGGCACCGGTGATGCCTGGCCTGAGCACCACCCAAGCTGCAGGCGCTGCTGCGCTGTGCCAGGAGCGCAACTCCCACCCCTGAGAGGTACTGCCATCCAACAGTGAGGAAGGCGGAAGGGCTGTCGCCGCCACAAAGCAGGCACGCGGAGCAGCCACGGCCACGGAAGCCTGGCAGGGGCCTCTGCGTGTCCAGATCAACACTAGGAATATGACTTGTTTAAAAAGAATAAGCAAGACTGGAGAAATGGGGACCCCCAGTCCAGAGGAAAGCAGTTAACGGCAGCGCATCCAGAAATGAGCCAGAGGCTGAAACAGCAGAGATTTCAGGGGACTGTCATAAAAAGGTTAGTTTCAATAGAAGGTAGAAAATGGAGAATTTCAGTAGAGAAATAGGAAAACCCAAGTACAAATACTGGAACCAACATACACGAGGTGTGAGTTGGAGAACACTGGGGGACCGGCCCCACATGGAGCGCAGCAGCAGCAGCCGGGCGGCACGCAGGAGGGGACACACACGGAGCGGGGCTCCAGCATCTCGGGTGTGGCCAGGCACCTGGGGCAGCAGAGATGTCGGGAGAAGCAATGGCCAAGACGTCCCCAAAGTTATGAAAGGCACAAACCCACATGCCCAAACAACTCCACGTAAAAGCCGTGACTCCGTGCCCCCCAATCAAACTGGGGGCACCAAACACAAAACAAAAACCCCCGTCAGAGGAAAGAGACATGCCCTACCTGAGGAAACAGAAGTTTCTCATCTGAAGCCACAGAAAGCAGGGGTAAATGGAACATCGATAAAATGCTGAAGGAAAATAAATCAACCCAGAATCCTGCATCACCAAAATAAAATATGATCAAGAAGTACTTCAAACGTGGAGGAACCAGGCCCTTGTCAGGCCAGCAAAGCTGCCATCCACAAACACCAAGTGCAGCACCTTGATGAAGGGCCCCACCCAGAAACCCAGGGTCCACAGTGAAGGAGCACAAGGGACAGACACACGTCTTCAAAGGCCACGGACAACTATGAGCGCCCTCTACACCCACCTCCAGACTCTGGACTGCAGACACTCTGCGGGAGAGCACGTGGACCAGCTGGCACGGCCACTTTGGAGTCAGTTCGGTGATTTCTCACAAAACTGAACATACTCTAGCCATATGATTCAGCTCCTAAGTTTTTATTTACCCAGACAAGTTGAAAACTTATGCTTGAAAACCAGTCTGCACACAGATGTCTGCGGCAGCTTTATCCGGAACTGCCCAAACCCAGAAGCGACCAAGACACCCTTCAGTAGGAGGGGCAGACAGACTGCAGTCCACGCAGAGGCTGGAGCACTAGTCGGCCCTGAAAGAAATGAGCCATCAAACCATAGACTTGGAGGAGCCCTGAGTGCACGGAGGGAAGGAAGCACGAAGAGGCTACACTGCGCGGACGCACCGAGGAACACCCTAGTCAGGCTGCTCAGAACCAGCAACACCACAAGGCATCCATGGGCTTCAAATCAAGTTTAATAAATAAAACAGCAAGGGATTCAAGGCAGTTATCACTTCACAGTGTGGTCCTTGGTGGGGTGAGGGAAGGTCGAGGCCAAGTCTGCAGACGGGCTCGAGCCAAAACCCTCTCCTGGTGACACCCAGGGGTTGGGGAGCACTGCCCTGGCCCCGTGGAGGACCCCACTCCAATTTGTAAACAGAAACATAAATAAAATGAGGAAAGCTAGGAAAGAGAAGGACCAGGCCCCCGAACCATCTTGCTGGGGAGCTTCAACAGAAATATGACCCACGGGGTCAGGGGAATGGTCTGGAGTCAGCCCCTCGGTGCCTTGGTACCAAGGGGGCAGGGGGGTGTGGGTCACCTGTTCCCTCAACCCCACCCCTGAGGCTGCTCCAGGCTGGAGAGAGGGGGTAGGCAGGTGGGGGGTAAAGTGCGGCTTTTCCTGACGTGGAGAGCAGGGTGGAGGTCGAGGGTGGGCGGGGCCGGCATCGAGGTATATGGCTCTGTGCCCCACGGGGTTTGGCACCGAGTAGCAGCTGCCCACGACCCCCGAGCTGGGGCAGCCTGTGGCCCTGCCAGGGGCAGGGAGATGGAGCCAAGCGGAGTGTGGACGGCGCCCCGCGTGGAGGCTGCTGGTGGGGCAGCATCCTGCCCCATCTCCCCACCTCGCTGATGGGGCAGGGACGCCTTCCTCTGCAGGCTAGACGGGGCCGGGCCCCTGCATCCAGCTGCCCGGCGGGTCCTGCGGTGGGGGCAGCGGCCTGGACAGCACGAACAGTGGTGCTGGGCGCCGAGAGTGCCAGTCTGTGTGGGAGGAGGGCAGGGCGGCGTCCCGGCCACCGCTCACCCCGTCCTCGACGTGTTCTAAAGCAGAGGCGGCGTTCCCCGGGACCCACGAGGAGGGGAGGGGTCGGGAAGACTGGCAGAGGCGGGGCCCTCGGTGGCCCCGAGTCCAGTCCGGGTCGCACACACCCGCCCGCGGCCAGGGATCAACAGGTCATCACGTTACAGCTGCAGGGGGAGAGACCGAGAAAGGGTCAATCCAGTTCCACGGAAGGCACGGCCTCGGCGCCGTGGGCTGAAACCGTGGCTCCCCACCTCGCCACCCCCAGCAGACCGTGTGTTCGCTCGTGCTGGCTGACGGGCTCCCCCAGGCAGCACGGTCCTTGGTGCCCGGGGAGGGCTGGGGGCTGGGGCAGGGGTGGGAGGGGCCTGGCACTGGCCACGTTTGTACCTTTTTGGATTTTGAACCATATGAATGTATTACCTAGTCAAAAAAATAAATAAGCCAAATTAAAAGTAGAGAATAAAAGTAAAGAAACCAACAGAGCCTGCTCCGTGTGGCCACGCCATCCTCGGGCCCTCGGGGCACACCCTCCCCTCTCCAAAGCTCAGCCTAAGGCTGGGGGACACACCAGCTGGGCGCAGGGACCCGGGGCAAAGGCCGCACTCACTGTGACAGGGGCTCCGAGTGCAGCCCGGGGGCTGGGCACGCTGGGTGGGTGGCCAGGAAGGGATTCACGTCCCCAATGCCGATGAGTCCAAACTCAGTGACCGACAAGGCCACCTGTGCTGGGGCCACAGCCTCCTCGGGCTCTCCGTTCATATCCACGTGGCTGGAGATGAGGGGCAGCTCCTCGGGGAGGGCCCCCGGCAGGGCCAAGTCCACAGCCAGTCTCGGGCTGGTGCTGGGCTCCGGGGCAGCAGTAGCCGGGGGGTAGAAGGCTGGCTCGGCCAGGGCTGGGGGCCGCCTGGGCAGGGGCACAGCTGGGGGCGTGTCCAGCTGCTGAAACGGACAGGGCCCCGGCTCCGAGGACGGGAGGCTGTCGGAGCTCTCCCCAGGCTCCCCAAGACTGACAGCCGTGCTGTCTACGCTCAGCGGCTCTGTGGGGAAGAAGAGAGTGAGGCCGGGACCCCGGCAGCACCCCACACCAGCCCTCCTGGGACCCAGAGCCATCGTGGCTCAGGTGCACTCGGGTAAAGTCACACTTATGCCTCCTACACCCTGGGAAAGGCTCCTGCCCAACCAGCAAAGCCCACGGACCCCCACACAGAGATATTTCCATGCAAAGACTTAAAACACACACACACACACACACGCACGCACGCACGCACGCACGCACGCACGGAACCAGTCACACTGAAAGTGTGTGCCTGGCTAACGGCCCTGCCCTGGGAGGCACCGGCCCTCACTATTTAAACCAGATCCGAACGAAACGGGTTCAAAGAAGAACAACACTTGGATGCAGGGCAAAGCGTACATAAACGTGGAATCTGACAACTCTTGGTGCACAGATTCAGGACAAACAATTCCATGAGAAGGTAGATGTGGTCCCCCTTTTAGACAAACCCCGGAACCTGCCAGATTCTGGAACGAGGGAACATCTAAAGCCCACAGGTCCCAAGAACCAAGGTCCCCACCCTCATCTCTGTGGCCTCTGTCAGAAACTCAGTCCCGACCCAGACCCTGTCTAGCTCTCGTGTGGCCCTGTGCCCAGGACGCCAAGGAGGCTTGGACACCCGTCCGACCTCCCATGTGGCACCTGGGGCTTGCAGAGGTGCCCCACTTCAGGCCGTGGGGCACACAGTTCCCCTCGATGTAACAAGTCCCCACAGCCACTCACGCAGGTGGCAGCCCGCGTGTGGTAACATATGGGGGCGGGGGAACACGCCCCCCCCCCGAGCCCCGGGGCCCGTGTCAGAGCACCAGTGAGGAGGGGGCTCCCCTAGAGCAGGGACCCAGCCCATATCTCACCTGTGTGCATCCGTGCCAGGGGGTCTTGCTCGGAGCCCAGGCTGTCGGCAGCAGGGGGCGGAGGGGGGGACGAGCGGGGACGGCCGTCAGGGTCGCTGCTGTCCAGGTCCTGGTCTGCATCCCTGTGGGGAGAGCGTCCCGTGAGGGGCTGGGGGAGACACTGCCTCAGGTGAGAGATGCCTGCCTGGGATGCCCCCCACCCCCACCCCGGGGTCTCTGGGAGCCCACTGCACGCACGTGGCTCCGGATGGGCCGTACTTCCTCCGGCCCAGCCTCGTCTGCTGAGAGAAGTAGTCGTAGCGCTCGGACTTCTTCCACAGGTAGTAGTACTCCACACACTCGCCTACGGACCGCGTGCGCACCTGCAAGCCAGCACAGTTGTCACCGTGGCCCCCGGGCCCCACCGTCCTCACTGCCAGCCCCCTCCGCCTCCAGAACAGACGGGATGGGTCCTGGCCTTGCACAAAACAAGACTCTGCCTGCAGGCCCATCCGCGCTTGCCACCCCACCCGCCCCAGAGGTGCATCCCTCTCCTGAAGCACGGGTGCAGCATCCCAGCACCTAACTGGCATGGAGCCAGAGCCCCATTTTTCACTCTGGATCCACACGGCTGGTGCCTACCTCCCTTACCCCAGACCACTGGCTCCCAAAGGCAGCGGCATCGCCCCCGTCACCTGGCAGAGAGGGGAGCAAAGACGCTGCTGCAGACACCAGGGACTAAGCTTTTGCCACTAGTGCAGAGTGTCCCTAACACCAGGGAGAGCTACCCATGCAAGCAAACAAGACGCCACTAAAGGGCACACTACAGTTTCGTGAACCCAACTCAACAACACAACAGGAAAAAGCGAAAAAACTTTATACATAAAGTATCCCGGGAAGAGAAGGGTAACACGCCACAAACGTATGTCTGATGTGGAGCCGGACTCCCCACTCACAAAACCTCTTGTGGATAAAGTCAGTCACAGAAACGAAACGTACAACCCGGGGACACGGTCAGTGACGCTGTAACAGGCTGTAGAGCCAGAGACGGCGACTATAGCACAAGGGGAGCGCTGACTGACACGCACACCGTCCAATAACCGTGACGCTCACCTCCAAGTAACACAGTGCTTGTGTAACTCTGTTCGCGTTAGGAAAACATTTCTAAAAACCTCTTGTGACAAGGGGCATCTCCCCACCTGGAGGCTCACCCCACAGCGGGCCCAGGGCCGTGCCTGCAGCCGGCGATCCTACAAGAGTCCACAGCACTGCTCACCAGAACGCGGGACCAGACACTGGTGCCCAGGATGAGTCTGGAAACCAGCAGGGACAGGGACACGCAGATGGCCTCATCTCCCTGATGAGACCCCTCCACACCCATCTTGCCAGGGGACTGAGTCCCGTGCAGCGTCTCTGGGGCCAGCTCCCACGGTCACCAGAAACGCCTGGAGGCGGCGGCCACAGCCACAACCAGAGCGGGCGGGCACATGGCTGACGGCACACAGAGGGAACAGCAGCCCCACGCCTGCAGTACCATGCTTATGAAGGCAGGCTGCGCCGCGGTGAAAACACAGTGAGCAGGGAGCTGCTCAGGCCACAAGGCACAGATGTGACATGAGAATCAAGCACTGTCGGACATGGCACTGGGCACAGTCAGCTGAGCACCATCCCGTCCCTCCACCAGCCCCAAGCAGGCACCTCACTCACTCCAGCCCCCCAGGGAGACACTAGGGCCCGACTGCGAGCCCAGTTTCAGCCAGGCCCTTCTCTACTACGTACATTCCCACAGGCAGTGGGACAGAGCCACCACTACTACCTCAGACAGAGGACAACAGACTGGGTAACAGGTGGGGTGAGGGAGCCACAGGGAGACGGAGCCACGGGGACCTGCCCAAGAAGGCATCCCGGGCAGCAGGCCAGAGGGGCCGAGGCTCCGCCAAGAGGTCAACTCAGGAGTCGTGATGCATGAAGCCACGGGCAGAAGGCATCACCATGGGATGCACAGAGACCAGCAGAGACCCAGGGCGGGGGCGGGCAGGGGGGGGCCTGGCACTCGGCTGTGCCCCTGGTCATGAGTGTTGCCGTGGGTGGCAGAAAGGCCACTGTCCTTTGAAGAAAGCGGAAGACCCTTGGACCACAAGGCAAGGGGCTGGGGGTGGGTCCAGGCTGGGGGCTGGCACTGCGGCATGGGCACTGGGCACCACAGGCTTTGGGCACCACACCGACAGGCTCTACCTCGAGGAAACGGCAAGGCAGGGCCAACGGATCACAAGCAGACAAGACCACTAGAGTTCGTCCCCAGGCAATTTCTCTCCCCAAACCGGAGCCTTCTTTTGGGGACTGGAAGGTGGCCCCACACATGTCAGCAAAGGAACTAGAGCAAGACATCAAGGGACATGTGGGGAGCCAGAGGCAGGCAGCAAGGCTTCAGCCATGGCTTGGAGGGGGGGCCTGCCCTGGGCCTGGTGAGGGGAGTCTCAACCTCGCCGTAAGGGGATGGTGACATGCCTGGGTCCCCAAGCCCCTCCCAGCCCCAAGGCGCAGCCGGTGGAGTCCCAGAAGGAACAGGGCAGGCAGCGTCCTCACCTTGTTGGCCTGGATCAGGTGAAAGTTCTTCCCGTGCACTCGGAAGCCATGCTCAAAGTTCCTGCACTCCTCCTCACTCCAAGCACAGAACCCATCTGCAAGCAGGAGGGAGGGCACAATGGCATCAGCAGCGCCCAGGAGGTGACAAGAGCAGAGAACGGGAAGAGCCAGGGCCATACGCTCACCTCGGATCACCTTCACATTGAATCGCAGCCTCCGCAGGGCCTCCTCTGCGTTGAAATTGCATTTCACCAGCTCGTAAAGTGCCTGGGGGGAAGCCTCACTGACTCTTCCAACCTGCTCACTTCATCCCACCCACCCCACCCACTCCGGAGTAAGAGCCAGGGGTGTTCATACCACCACCAGGTGTGGGGACATCAGGGGGGATTCACACCACCAGGGCAGGGATACTGGGAGTGTTCACACCATCGTCCGGCGGCCGGTAGAGGGGGTGTTCGCACCGCCATCAAGGGGTAAGGATATTGGGGGCGTTCATACCACCACTAGGGTGGGGTTATCAAGGGTATTTATACCATCATTTCGCCCATAACAAATGCTTTTTATTTCAACTTGTCACCATCACAGGACCACACTGGGCACGAGCTTCAAGGCACACCTCCCAAATCTCCCTCCTGCCCCTACATGGGACCTGCCCTGTGACCCAGGGTGCTACAGCACCACAGCCACCTGCACCCCATGGGCAACCCCACCTGCTCACTGTCTTTCACTGCTTCTCCCTCTGGGAGCTGAGACCCAGCCATCTCATGCCACCTGCGTTTTACCGCCCGGTACAGGAACTCCTCCACCTCCCTCTCAGGGAGGATGTTGGGGTCCCAGAGCAGCTGGTCGTCATTCTCATAGACTGTGGAGAAGGAAGGCCAGGGTCACGTCATGGGCACGCAGCCTGCACCCACCTCGGGAGCTCACGCTCCCCGCCTCCAACCGCCCCGTCAGAAGCACCTGCCAGGGCAGGTCATCTGGGGCTCCTGCGGAGGACTCCCCTGGCTCTTCCACAATGAGGACTATACACACAGATAACAGAAGACGGTATTTCATGACAGCCAGAGTTTACTCCGGAATGCAAGGTTGGTTTAATGTTTGAACATCTATCAATAAAAAGCATTACATTAACAGGATAGAAAAAAAATGACCATCTCAAGAAACACACAAAAAATATTTTACACAAGTCAGACTTGTTCGTGGCAAAAACTGTCAGCTACTCACAGAAGGGAACTTTCTTCTCTACAGATAAAATTATGTTTATTTCTTTATTTTCTGAGAGCGTGAGTGCAGTGGGGAGGGGCACAGAGAGAGAGGGAGAGAGAGAATCCCAAGCAGGCTCCACATCATCAGTACAGAGCCCAACACAGGGCTCAAACTCATAAACCGTGGAATTGTGACCTGAGCCGAAACCAAGAGCCAGACACTTACCCGGCTGAGCCCCCGGGCGCCCCATCCAATGCAGAGCTCCTACAGAAGCTTACAGCTAATTCCACACTAAAGGGCATACTGAACACTTCCCCCAACTTTGGGAACACGACAGAGACATCCTCTGTCACCTCTACATCCTAGAGGGAAGGCCAACACAACAAAGCACAGAGAAAAAATAAAAATACAAAGATCACAAAGAAAGAAAGCAATCACTCACAAGTTACACCACCGCATACGTAAGAAAATACAAAAAAATATGTTAAAATTAGTAGGTAAGTTTAGCAAAGTCACTGCATACAGGATCAACCAAAATAAACTGCACTTCTACTAATAGAAATCAATCATAGATGAAACTTGCTGTTAATTTTTTAACTATTTTTTTTTTAATTTCTGAGAGAGAGACAGTGTGAGCAGGGGAGGGTCAGAGAGACAGGGAGACACAGAACCAGAAGCAGGCTCCAGGCTCCGAGCTGTCAGCACACAGCCCAACGCGGGGCTCAAACTCACAGACCTGTGAGATCATGACCTGAGCCAAGGTTGGACGCTTAACCGACTGAGCCCCCAGGTGCCCCAGATGAAACTTTTTAAAACCTCTTTTAAAGGAGCACAAACAAGTACACAGCGCACTCACGGGAGTGCTGCAAAGCCCCTACTGGCCACGCCAGGGTTCACGAGGGAGCCACGTGTGTGGACAGCAAGTGTCAATACTGTAAAGATCACTTCAGCACAATTTCATTTAAGGATCTGGGGCAACTCCAGTCGCAATCCTGGCAGGCGTCCTAAGGCAGCTGACAAGCTAATGCACAACCTGTGTGGACACGGAAGCTGCACAGAGTGTGGAGGACTGACACTGTCTCCCACTGACTCTGAGCAGCAACAATTAAGACGGCGTGGGGATGGCCTGGGTCACGCACATGAGAGTGGCAGGCAGGCCCGGACTGTTCCAGAAGTAGTGCTGGAGCAATGGCATCCCCAGCGAGGTTAAAGCAGTCCTGACCCACACCTCCAACCACACACTGAATGTGAAGCCAAACCTCTACTTTCTGTGTAGCAGGCAAAACAGAGAATGTCTTCTACAAAAAATTCCTTAACGGCACACAAATACAAGGTGGCGAAACTGAAGATCACCGGCTCGGCCGCTGCTGACTGGGAGGGAACGCGGCGGTACACACGGCAGGTGACAGACTCGCACCCAGAGCGCAGGAAGGACGCCCACATATGAAAGAAAAGGCAAACCAGGTTGAAAATGGGGGAAAGCCTTGAGCAGGCGCCTCACAAGAGAGATGCAAATGGCCAGTCAACGTGTTCCGTCTCAGAGAAACGCCAATTAGAGCCACAAGGACACACCTCTCCCCACCGGCTAGAAGGGCTCCAGTCAACAACAGACATTGTCACATGTGCATGGGGACACGGAACATCACTGGAGGGGCCCCTAAGAAGTGTCTCCTGACCAAAACGTGAGTCCACGGCGCAGCTCCTGGCCATCTGTGAGGTAAAAGACTCACACACACGTTCACGGCCACACATGCAAACCGTAGTATCAGCCGACAGAAGAAGAGAGGAGCCAATGTGGTCCGTCCACACACGGAAACAGGACACGACCACAATCGAGGTTCTTCTCCCGTGCAGCACAGAGGGGGAGGGCAGCCCTCTGAGACCAAGGGCCGGCCGCTCCCTGTAGCCAGGCTCGGGGGGAAGAAAAGGCCCAGATGCCAGATGCTACTAAGGCTGCGGCTCCAGACTGAGGGCCACTCGTTCTCAGGACCCTGCAAGCTGCGGCTGAGGAGTACGCGCCGATGCCTGTTTCTGGGAGATGGTCTCCGGTCCACACAGACTGACCTCCACCTGATCTCCCTGTGACCCAGCCGACATGAGCTTTCCTGTCCCCTCCTTTACCCACACTGCTTATGGTGGAGCAAGCACGTGCCACCAAGCCCATGTCCCAGCTACCAGACCGAGCCCTCAACATCTCTCCTGAGGGTCCCCGTCTCCCTCGCCTGTCCCACCGCTCCGCCAATCTCAGCTGCTGAATCGTCCTGGGAAAGACCCCTGAGCCAGGAGTGCCAGCTCGAGACCCACAGGGGCTTCGGGGCCAGGAAAGCAAGACTCGGGCCAATAGCCAGGTGACTTCACATCCCATTTTCTTCACCTGCAGGTGGAGGGGTCAACACCTATCTAGAAATACAACAAACCTCACCCCATGTTCTGGGGGGATCAGGGACACACAGGCATCAAGTTCCGATGGCGAGCGCCCTGAAGAACAGTGCAGGGCACAGAGACCCTGGTCTCTGAAGGACACCTGGGACGAAGCCCAGACACAGGAAGGGCAGGGGGAGAGGGGGGAGAGGAGGACAGGGACTGGGGCAGGGAGGAGAGGGGTGGGAAAGGTGATGTGGGGGGGGGGTGCCGGCTGGGAGGACAGTGGGCAGGGAGGGCGCTGACTGGCCCGCCTCCTCCCGCCCTGGCCTTGGCCCCAAGTGTCCTGCAAGTTCAGGGTGAGGCAGGGGGCACCTGGCCAGAGCCCGCGCCCTTAGGTCCCCCCCAGGAGGGCTGCAGCAGGTTCCGTCCTGGCTGCACTGGGGCTCTCGTCTCCTTCTCCCGTTGCCCACACTCACCAAGGCCCCACTTACTTTTCTCACCGTGGCGCTCCAAGTACAGGCTGCCGAGGTCGGCTTGGAACTGAGGCCCAACCATGATCTCCTACAAAGGCAAAGGCCCGGTCACGGATGACGGGAGGCCAGTCCACAAGGGGCTGACATGGGACCCTGGGTGGCTGCCTAGAGCCCAGGGCTCCTCTGTGCAATCTGCCCACAGGTGCCAAGTCCTGTGGTCTTGAGCATGAGGCAGAGGCGGATGTGTGTGGGTGTGACTCTGTCTGCTACAGCCAGTCAAGTGCCAGGGGTGTGAGGCCCAAGAACCCAGGTGTTCTGAGGTCCAGCCTAAAGGCCCCAGAAGGACCTCAAGGAAAGGACCGTGGGCCACATCACAGAGACAAAGTCAACAGGTGTGAGCCCCAGTAACCAACATCACGGTCAAGTCCGAGCCCAGCTCACCTCTCGGGAACCACATGCTCAGCCCTGCCCCCAAGGGCCACAGATTCGTGTTCAGGGCACTGCTGGGTCAGAGCCACTCACCTTCTTACACTTGTTGGCAGGAAGAGGGTCCTCCTCCGTGTCAGATGAGGTGGAGGAGCCAGGCTCTTTGTCTGCGTCAGCCAGGAAGCAGGCTTTGGGGAAAGGGGAGCAGCTGAGTGGCACCCATGGCAGTGAGTAGCCTACCTGGCTAGTGGGCTCTGGTGTGTCCCTGCCTGCACTTCCCCCCAACTCTCTGTCCACCTGACCCCACACCCTCCATGCCCTTCCCAAAAATGAATGTGACCCTGGCCAGGTGATGGGTGTGAGATGGGCACAGAACAGGGGACTCAGGAGGCACCTCCCACTGCCAGGCCTCACAGCCAGGCAGAGCCGAGGGGAGGACGGCCTCCCAGACGGGACAGACTTTCGGCCATGAGAACCGACATATTCCCTCCTCACGTAAGGCCAAGGCAAGGAGACGGGAGCCCCTGAGGAGCTCAGACTGAGATCGGGACACACCCAGGTACAAGAGACACCCATGCACAAGTCCTCAATCCCCAGCAGCCCAGGGCCCCTCCACCTGCACCCCTGGAGCCACGCCTGGCCGGCCCCGGAGACAGTGAAGGAGCAGGCGGGACACCTACATCCACTCTGGTTAGGAAACAGATCGGAGGCCTCATGGGAGGTCACGGATGGGGTAAGGTCATCAGCCGAGGACTGTGTCTCTTCCTCTTCTTCCCCTGAAAGCAAATCCTTCGCTATTTGTTCCTTTTAACAAGAAAGCAAAGAACGTTTTTGTGGTTTGTTTCAATAACCTCGAGACGACACTTAATAACAACAAGCGACTGCACTAACTCAGAGACAACCACCAGCAGCCTTGCTCTGGAAACGCCCTAGGAGCGCCCGTGGGTCGTTCCTTCTGCTCTGCAGATGGAGGGGCCAGGCCCAAGGACAGGCTGGCAAGGAGCGAGCTCCCCACACCCAGGATCAGGAGGGCCTATCACTGTCTTCCAAACTGTGTATCTGGTTTCCGCCTCTGGTGATAAAGGCCCTCCCTCCTGACAGCTGCCCCATGACCTGGTCAGGACCCAGAGGGCACGGAGTCAGCTGCACTTCTCCACACCAGTCTCCACTAGGCCCCTTCTCCAGCCCCTGCCTGTGGCTACTCAAGCCACAGCTTGAGTGGGAGGGCACCCACAGCCACTGAGTCAGCTCTGACTCTGGGGAGCGGGTAGGGGTGGGGGACAGGGCTCTTCAGGCAGCAGACCTGACCTGACGCCGTGACAGCACCTCTGTGCGGGCTGGGGCCTTCACGCCTGTCCTCCCTGAACCCTGCCCCCAGTCCACTCACCTTGTCCAGGGTCATGTCCGGGAGATTGGCTGTGGTGTCGCTGCCCTCGCTCTCCCGCTCCGAGATGGGATCTGATGCCTCGTAGCCATAGAGGGCGAGCAGTTCGTCAAGGGGCATGTCGCTGCTCTGCAGGGGCAAGGCTGAGTCAGGGGGCGCTGCTCAGGGGTTCTGGGCCACACTGGCCACCACAAGCAGAGCCCCCTAGTCACACTCCCAGCAGCTAATCCCAGCCAGACCCCAGGCCCAGTCTTTCACCCAGACTCCCTTACAACCCCCAGGAGACACAGAGACAAGACACCTGTACCCAGAGAAATCAGCTATTTGCCCAAGGTCACCAGCCTTGAAGGTTAGGGCCAGGAATGGCCTCTCCGTCCACACGGTTCTGCTCAGGCTGAACGCTAGCAATGCAAGGATGGCTCGATACCTATAAATGTACTATCACAACTTAACCATGTCAATAAATCAAATGGAGAAAAACATGACCATATTGGAAAATGTGAAAGAAACATCTGGGAAAATCCAGTATCTGCTTCTGATTAAAACAAACAAAAAAAGTCAGGACACTAAGTGGAGAGATGTCAGCCTCATCGATGTAATGGAGATGCTATGAGCCCTCATGGGGTTGGTGACAAGCCAGCAGAGCAACTCCATCCCAGCTGAACGAGAAAGGAGAGGCTCAAGCCCTCCGTCATAGGCTACAAGCCAACGCAACAGGACAAGAAACAAGAAGGAGACATTTAATGGCTGGGAAGGAAGAGAGAAAACTACCATCGCCTTCCTCTCTAGTGCTGCCTCCATGTCACGGTTCCTCACGCCCATCTCCCTATTCCTGAAGACAGTGGTGTCCGGCCACACTGCGTCCCAACCCTGTGAGTCATAGCCAGCCTCTGGCCCCCTAGACATCCCTCTCATTCTCTTTGCCGGCAACTGCCTCCCCTATGCCCCAGCTCCTGCCCTGCCCTTACCCCAGGGGCTCCAAGTCCATGGGGAAGAACACCCACCTTGTGCCCAGCCCTCTCCCCACTGACCCCGAGGTCCCCCTTCCACCCTCAAGGGACCCCACTGATGGGGACATTCATTACACCGACAAGTTTCCAACCGTGCATTTGTTGAGGGATTAACACAGTGGCCCAAAGACTCCTGGGTTCCTGGGACCCTTTCTGGGGGTCCCAGATGCACAACGACCTTCACGATAATAGGACATTATGTCCGGCTCACGCTGTGCAGGCACCGGTGCTGAGGGAGCAGAGTCAGAGGTGAGGCACAGCACCCTACAGTCGAGGCAGGGTCACCAGGGTGTGTGAGCACTCAGTGTGCACCCCTCACCACCACCCATGCAGCTATAAACGTGCCACTTTCACTCAAGAATATCCTGTACAAAAGCAAAGTTTCCATCCTCTCTCTGAGCAGCTGTGGTGAGGAGAGGGGACGCAGGCAGAGCGCCCGCCACAACCCACACTGAGGGTTTGTGCAGAAGCACCCAAGTTACAGCCGTGCCAGAGGCGCAATGCCCCAAGCTCGCCGCTGTGCTCGTACCGGACAGAACGGCTGCCAGGCGACCGCGCTACGGCCCTGCGCGGATGCCTTCACACAAGGGCAGGTTGGCCGTCACCTCTAAGCAAACAACTGACTCTTTGCTGCAAGGGTGAAACTCAAGCCTCTGAAGAAAAGAATTTCGGAAAACGTGGATCTGACAACATGAGCTGACAAACTCACGATCCTATTAGGTAAGGTGATACAAAACAGCAGTTTCCAGTTACTTTGGATGCTATGTTCTTTCTTACTCAATTTTTAAAAATTACACCTGGAGAAAACCTAAATGACATATTCAACTAATAAATGGCTGACTTTAGTTTCTGGTGAGATTTGAGAAGTTTTAAGTTCACATTAAACTTTTTTAAATTGTTTTTCTTTCTTTTTTATTTTTTTGAATGTTTACTTATTTATTTTTGAGAGAGAGAGACAAAGCACAAGAAGAGGAGGTACATAGAGAGACAGAGAGAGGTTCCCAAGCAGGCTCTAGCTCTCAGTGGCTCAAGCCCAGGAATCTTGAGATTATGACCTGACCCAAAGTCAACAGCTGGATGTTTAACTGACTGAGCTCCCCAGGTGCCCGTATTTTCTTTTTTGTTTTGTTTTTAATAATTTTTATGTTTAATTATTTTTGAGAGACAGCGTGAGCGGAGGAGGAGCAGAGAGAGAGGGAGACACAGAATCTGAAACAGGCTCCAGGCTCTAAGCTGTCAGCACAGAGCCCGACGTGGGGCTCGAACCCACGAACCGTGAGATCACGACCTGAGCCGAAGTCCGGACGCTCAATCAACAGAGCCACCCAGGCGCCCTCTGTGTTTTCTTTTTTCAAGAGAAGACTTTGTCTTTGGTTATTAGACCAAATTGGTACCAAATGATACATGGCACCAAACTACATAAAGTCCCTGCGATTATTGCTTTCAAAAAAAAAATTCCCAATACTTGAAAGATGTTTGAGGAGATTTAGTGCGAGAAACCAAATGCCCATGTCTTGCCAACATGCACACACATACCATGGCCCCGATCTCAGTGTGAGAGCACCTGGAGATGAGCCTTTGCAGAAAGAACTATAGTGACAGAGTCGTGAGGACGGAGCTCTGATCCCAAAGGACCAGGTCCTCAAGAGAAGAGGCCCCAGAGAGCCTGCCCTCACCCCACCACGAGAAGGCAATGAACTGTAAGTCAGGGTGAGCACCCTCAGTAGAAACCACCATGCCTGGGCCTGACCTTGAACTTCTGGCCTCCACAACTACGAGAGAAATACACTTGCTGTTCAAGCCCCCCAGTGCACACTATTCACGAGTGTGTGTGTTGTGGTGCACGGGCTGCAGGGCCAGCGTGCTGCTAACACCTCATGATGAGGAGGGGTCGCACCATCACCAACAGGCCTGAGCACAAGCGCAGGGCGCTCACAGCACGTGAAGGCAGGAGCCACTCTGCAGCCCTTCTGACTGAACTGCCCCTGGCTGACTGGGAGGTGCGTCAAGGAACGTCCACAACTACCTGCAAAGCCTCCCCCTCCCGCGAACAGACGTGTGTGGGGCTAGATTGACGCTCCAACCGAGGGAACGGATCACCGCGCACCGACGGCCGGGCCCTCGGGTCCACGTCTGTTTTGGCAGAGCTGTTCCACTCCTCTCCCCAACGTGTGTTAGTTCTGGAAAACTTTTTCTTTTTCATTTTCACAAAAATATGTGATTTCTATTAACAGATGTACTGCATAACCTGCACAAAACTCCTTGAGATCCTCCATAACTTGAAGGCCATAAAGTGGGTTCTGAGGCCAAGAAGCTTGACAACAGTGTGTTTCACGCCTGGAACCCTACAGCCCAGAGGCACAGCCAGGTCTGGCCCCCATGGTCTCAGCCCCTAACACAGTGCCTGGCGCGTCGCAAACACGTGTGCAGACAGCACTTGTCCCTGTGACATCTGAGCCTCGAGACTAATTCGGCCAAGTGAAGAGACGTGACCTTGCCCGGGGGCTCCCCCCACCACAGGGCTGGGGGACCAGCTCCGCCAAGCACCTGGGAGATGAAGTCCTTCCCCAGCTCTCCCTCCGGCTTCCCCGGGTCTCCTGCAGCCGGGTCGCACTCCTGCCGAATGCCGTAGTTCTGTGACAGGATCTCAACGAGGTTGAACTGATGGTCTGCAGAGCCCATGGACACCACTGTGGAGGAGACACCCGCCTGCGTGAGCGCCCCACCCCCACCCCACGCACACCAACCATCGTGCAAGGCTGAGGACGGCCGGGGTAGGGCTGTCACCGGGGACGAAGTCCCCAGCCTGCCGGCACGTGCATGTGTGTGTACACGCATACAGGTGCGGGGAGCGGTGCGTGTGCACACTGGTGGTCAGCGTGGTCAGTCTACCACATGGGAACTCCCAACAGAATGAACCCTAAGAGAAGAACATGCCTGGTTACATGGACACATGAACTCTGGATGTTTGGGGGGATGTGTCCTCCTAGGGACTCGCTTGGTCCCCCAACCACGGACACCACTGAGGGTGCGGGGCAAGAGCCCACACACAGGGAGAAATGAGCAAGCACCAGGGGAGCGGGCCCCTCAGCTCTGGAAATGCAGAGGTGACTCCACGCACCCCGACACGTCACTGCGGGGACAGCACAGCGAGGAGGGTGCCCGCGGGCCACACGCAGCAGGCCCATCAAATGCCAGTCCTTTCTGCTGCCGCGGCAGGGCGACGCCTGCACAGGCCAGTGTGTAGTGGTGCCACCAGATTTTTAGTTTTCCCAAAAGAACCAGGATGCGTTCACTGCTCCCTCCCCATTCTGGTCTTCAGTAAGTCAAATTTAAAGAAAACAAACACAAAAGGAAAAAGCTAGGGCTCAATCCACCCAGGCCGGAGAGCGGGGAAAACTGAGGCTGGACGGGAGGGGGGCAAACAGCCGGCCTGGGGGAGGCGCACAGCACCCGGGAACCGTGCCCGCTCACACCAAAGCCAGCCGCTCCAGTCCTCATAAGGTGCTTGCCAGGCCAGCGGGACATGCCAGGAAGAAGGCACTTTGGCCCTGTGCTGGGGCAACCCTGGCCGCACCAGAAAACGGAAGAGCCCTGGCTACTCTGCCTGCACACCGATCCCTGGGCTCTGGGAGCCAGCGCACTATGTCTGGCTCTGCCAAGATGGGTGAGACTCTGTCTCTCACAACCACAAAGGCCTTGGTGGCCCTGGGCAGGAGAAAGGGGGGGTGGGGGGCGGCAAGGAAGGTACCTGCTGTTGTCTGCAAGCTGGGCTCCCCGGGGCACAGGCTGTGAGTGAGGCAGGAGGCCACGCGAGGGCTCTGCCTCTCCAGCGAGGAGGCCTGTGGAGGAAGAGAAGCAAGGTTAGCCCGGTGGGCCCAGGACCCCCTGGTGCACATCTCTGCATAATGCCTGGGAGCAAGTACAGGCCAGAGCCTGACTCCCCAGGTGACCTCAGAAGTGGCCTCATCTGGCTTCTATGCAGATGTCCAAAAATCATATGGAAACTCAAGGAAACCCAGATAAGCCAAAACAATCCTGAAACGAAGAACACTTCCTGAATTCAAAACTACTACAAAGTTACAGTAATCAAAACAGGGTGACACTGACATAAAGCTGGACGTTTTAAACCGAAGGGACAGAACTGAAAATTCAGAAGTAAACCCACAGTCTTACAGCCGACTGAATCTCAACAAGGTGACCAAACAACACAGTGGGGAACGAACAGTCTTGTCACCAGTGGTGCCGGGGACAACAGGAAGCCCACGTGCAAAAGAATGAAGGTAAGTGCCTACTGCACACCAGACAAAAATAATGCACCTAAAGACCTTAAACCTGAGAGATTAAACTATAAAACTATAGAACCTTTAGAGAAAAGCACTGGAGTACATCTTTTGTTACCCTAGACGCAGCCTGTGGTTTCTTAGCTAAGGTACCAAAAGCAATAGCAGTAAGAGTTAAAATACATGAACCAGACTTCATCTAAAGGAAAACTTTTCTGCTTGAAAGGCCGTCACTGAAGAAGGCAGCCCACAAAGCAGCGCGAGGCTTCAAATCGTGCAGCTGAGAAGGGACCTGTATCGAGAACACACAAGGAACTCTTGCAACCCGTTAGTGAAAAGATAACCCAATTTAAAAATTGGCAAAGTATCTGCACAAACGTTTCTCCAAAGAGAAAATGGCCAATAAGCACACGAAAAAATGCTCATCAAAAGAAAGCAAATCAGGGGCGCCTGGGTGGCTTAGTCGGTTGAGCGTCCGACTTTCGCTTAGGTCATGATCTCGCGATTCATGGGTTCGAGCCCCACGTCGGGCTCTGTGCTGACTACCAGCTCGGAGCCTGGAGCCTGTTTCAGAGTCTGTGACTCCGTCTCTCTCTGACCCTCCCCTGCTCACGCTGTCTCTCTCTCTCTCCTAGAAATAAATAAAAACATTAAAAAAAAAAAAAAAAAGAAGAAGAAGAAAAAAGCAAATCAAAGGTGGCAAATGCAAAATGGAGCCAGTGCTTTGGGAAACAGTTGGCACAGCAGTTCCAATGCTCAGAAAAACATCAAAGGGGTCAGAGAGTGTCATCGCCCCAAGGTGGGCCACTCTGGCCTGAGGGTTACTCTGAGATGAAGACCCTGAGCAAGAGCAGATACAGGATGACCTCTGTAAACTGCTGTGGGGGCGCCTCCCCTCCCGAACCAGGAAGGGAGCAGCTTTACACTGAAGATGAAGGGGCACCGGGCTCATCTGCGCACACACACCTCACCAACCGGCCTGGCCTTCTGCCATCCCAGGACATCCCCTTTCCCAGGACTTGCTGCCCGGACAGACTCCAAGTCCTCCGTGTCGTGACGGTCCATACACGTTTACTGCTCATTTGTGCAGACGCCCTCAGAAGTCCGAGCTCTACCCACCCCCTCAGGTTACTCATCTGACTTCTCCCTCACGTGCTGCATTGGTTAGTCAACTCTGAGTATTTCTCACTTGTCCATCTGTCTTTTGCCAGTCTAAGTCCCCACCTGAAAACCTAAGAAGGGAAGGAAAAGGACTGAGCCCTGCCTCCCGTAAGACGCCCACAGGAGAAGAAACACATCTACACGAGCACTTGCACGTGAGCATTCACGGCGGAGCCATTCCTAAGAGCTAAAGATGGAAAGAACACAAATGTCCATCCGCTGAGGAACAGACAAACCAAAGCAGAACAACAGACCGTCCCTCGGCCCCGAGCAGGACGAGGCGCCCACACCCGCCGCCCCACAGACGGACCCTGAACACACGACACTCAGGGAGGGAACCAGACACGAGAAGCCACACGGGTGTGAGTCCATGTGCGTGAAACGTCCAGAACAGGCTCCTCCACAGACGGAAAGGGGGCTCGTGGGTGCTGGGGAGGGGGAAAGGGTGACAGGTGATGGCAACAGGGCTTCCTTTTGGGAAGACAGAATGTTCTAGAGTTGAATTCTGATGGTCATACAACTACGAATTTACTAAAAACCGCTGAATAGTACACATGAAAATGAGTGAACTGTATATGAATTATACCTCCTTAAAGCAATCTGTACGCATATGCGCGCACACACACAGGCAACTTGAACATTTAACAAAATTTTCAGAACTTAGAACAACAGTTTAGTAAGAATTTCCTCACTGAATCCTCAAGAAAACCCCAAGAGGTTGTACAATCCTCCTACTAAGTGGGGGGAACTGACGCTCAGAGAGATCAAGTCACTTACCCCAGCTCACACGGCACAGAAGTAGAGCAACTACAAACTCCAGCTGAGCCACAAAACCCTGACAGCACGAATGAAAGAAAAGCGAAGCCAGGAGAGCGAGCTGGGAGGCTAAGCCGAGCCACGGGCACCAGAGCACAGCAGGCAGGGGCTGACGAGAACTGTGGCGCAGAGCCGAGGAGCAGGGGGCCAGGTGGGCGTGGGGTCCCAGCTTCTCCAAGAGGACGGCGAGGTGTGTGGCCTCTGCCGGGAGCCCTGGGAGAGTTCTGAGTTAGGAGGCCCAGTCCAGGGCGGCAGAGGCAGTCAGCACAGAGAGAGGGAAAGCAGCCGGCGGGGTGGGCGGCAGGGGCTGGAAGCGGGCAGGGGGAACAGAGCACCGTGTCCTGCGTGGCCTCCACGGGTGGCCTCACCTTCAGCCTGCACAGTGGGCGCCTACGCTGCACACACCCTAGTGTCCTCTGAAATCACACGGACCCTCTCTAGGGCCCTCCACAGTGATGCCCGGCCACCCTCCCTGGGCTCCCTGTCCCAGGTGCTCTGGGAGAGCTCTGACGGGCGGGCCGAGAGAGGACAGGGTTTGAACAGCTGCTCTTCCAGGCAGAGTGCAGCCCTGCTCCCAGTCCACATCCACCTGCAGCCCCAGGTGCGGTGGTCTGTGGTCCCTGGCAGGGTCTGAGAAGAATGTGGCCCTTATGTGACTTGCCCACTGACACAGGAGCTCAGGCAAAGGAGCAAAGAGAAGTGGCTGGAAGGCTCCTTCTCCCAACAAGGGGGGGGGGGGGAGGGGGGCTGTGAGCACCCTGCTCCCCACAGGGACTCAGTGGCCTCAGATCTCTAAGTTCATTTCCAGATGACTCCAAGTTCCTCAAAACTCACCAAGAAACACTGACTTTGTGGATTCTCTTCCCTAACCCTGCCCCAACATCTGACGTCTCAGTGCAAGCCCGCCTGCAATAATGGGGTGCCCGGGGTTCTGCTTCCTCTGTTCAGAACACTCTGGATGCGTCCATCAGAGTCAAAGCCCTCTGTTTTGCCGAGGTGGAAGAAGAAACAGGATGGAGAGCGGGTAGAGGACGTTCTGGGTTAAAACAAGTAAAGGAGGGAGGAAGAAAGGGAATTCTAGGAGTGGGCAACCCCAGTCTCAGGGAGAACAAGGCACGCTCAGCAGTCCTGCCTCAGGGGACCCCGACTGCTCTGATGCGGAGGCCAGGGCAGCCCCTCTCCCATGGCAGCATCGACTCCTCCCACAGCCCTTCCGAGCACAACCCACAATGAGTGGACTCTCCAAAATGGCTGCACCCACACCTCCCGTCCCACAGGCTCTGGGTGCACTGTGACGCTCACATGCCGCCCCTGCCAGAAGTGGGATTCTGGGCCCCTTCCCTGGGGCTCCAGACGGGCCTGGGACTTCAGGCAAGGTGGAGGGCGGGGATACACTCCATGTGATTTCCACAGCTAGGTCTTAAAATGCAACCCAGTTTCCATCTTGTACCTTCTGGCAAAGCCATTCGGCTGCCATGGTGTGAGGAAGCCCAAGCTACGCAAAGGCTGTGTTCCCAGGTCCCAGCCAGCAGCCAGCACCAACCACACATGAGCAAGGAAGCTAGCCTCCACGGGGTCGGCTCCAGCCCACTGCAACCACAAGGGGGACCCTGAGTGAAAACCGCCTGGCTGAGCCCAGCCAGCCCTCAGCACCACAAAAGACAGCAATAAAACAACTGCTGTTTTAAACAACTGAATTTCAGGGGCGCCTGGGTGGCTCAGTCAGTTAAGCATCCAACTTCGGCTCAGGTCATGATCGGGTGGTTTGTGTGCTCAAGCCCCACGTCGGGCTCCGTGCTGACAGCTCAGAGCTCGGAGCCTGCTTTGGATTCTGTGTCTCCCTCTCTCTCACCTGCTCCTCCCCCTGCTCACAATCTGTCTCTCTCTTAAAAATAAATAAAAGATTTAAAAAAACTTTTTAAGTAAATAAGTAAACAACTGAATTTCAAAGAGATTCCTTAGCGATGACAGCTAACCGGAACACCTTCCGCCCACAGCCAGCTGCATGCCTGCTGGGCACCGCACCCCTCCAGCTGACCACCACTTACTGCACGCCTGCTCTAGGCCAGGTGCTCCGCAGTCCATCAACAAACAGGTTCTGCCCGTCTCCACCCACACACGTTACCAGTCTAGCTGGGGACACGGACAGCAAGCAAGTGGGAGTGGGCATCCACAGGACTGAGGGGACATGAGGGGTGCTGGGACCACACCGAGGCAGCGGAGTCTCCCCAAGGGCATCACGCTGCAGGAGGAAATGGAAGGGGTGGGGGTGGGGGTGGGGCTGAGGTGATCACATCACTGGACTGAGGTCACAGGGAGGAGAGGCACTTTACCCTAAGGAAAAAGGAAAGCTGTGGAGGATTTTAAGCACAAGACAAAGATAGTGTACTTGGGTCTTTCAAAGATTAATCTGGTATCTGTGAGGAAGACAGTATGAAACACTCCCATCTTTTCTCCTGGTGCTGACAATTCCAGCAACTACAAAACTCAGGCACCTAATACTGACCAAGCAGGTACCAGTAGCTTACAAGTTGCCATCTGTACGGGTTAGAGACAGCTGACTGCCAGTAATTCCCTAAGGTTCAGCTTCCCCGGGCAAGCCACTGAGCTGAGATCTTGAGAGAGCTCTCGACTGGAGGGTCTTATTTCAGAGATGAGGAAACCAAGGCTCTGAAACATTCAGTCACCTGCCCAAGATCATGCAGAATTAAGAGGTGCCAGCGCTGCAACAGGTCCCCTGGGCAGAGGCTGGCTGTGGCTCACTGCTTCTAACATCTGCCCACTTGTTGGCCCTTAATTGACCAGGCTCCCTCTGACCAGACTCTAAGGCCCTTTATTTAGAACAGGCACCAACAGACTGCTCACAGCCAGACCCTCGGGGCCACGCACCGAGCCAGGCATATGGGGGATCTCACACAAAGACCTTCTCCTAGGGAACCAACTCAAATTCACTCCACGGGGCACCACGGCACACCGTCGACACGTGGGACCAGGATGCCCTGGGCAGCTGGCTGCTCTGAGGGTTCAGGGCCTTTGCATCGGGCAAGGCAGAGTCAAGAGCCAAACCTGGCGGCTCCCGGGGGAGGCCAGCTGGGGCGTCTGCCCCGTCTATGCACAGCACACCTGCCAGGCCAAGAGTGCTGCCCCCATGCCACCCATGCCCCTGGGCCAGGAGCACACACAGACACACACTACCACCACACCCCGCTAGACCACTGAGAAACCTAGCTTCTGCCTTTGACCCCCAAGGCCAGCCACCGCCATGAGGCTTCAGTTTCCCTAAATACACAGGAAGGAGAACCTGCTGCTGCCCCTCAGGGGGTCAATGGCGGGAGAGAATGGCCATATCCACCCTGCACAACACTTCGCTAAGACAGAACTCAACTTGGCCCCATAGCCATGCTGAATATCCGACGTCCCTGCTGTGCTCACTGGGTGGACCCCTTCTCCTCTCTGGGCCTTGGGGCCCCTACTCCTTGATGAGGATTGCCTGCTGAGTCTGAGGACCTGGCTGGTGTTGGCCTTAACTTCTGCGCCCGCTAACAGTTACGCTCACCGAGCCCTGGCAGGTGCAGTCTCACTAACCCTCAGTAGGGCCCCAAAGGGGGGAGCAGTCCACCCAGTCTTATCCAACATCCCAAAGCTTAAAAAAGCCCAAAAGTGAAAGTTTTCCGTCCCTGGTTTGACAAGACGTGAAGCCACTTGCTAACTGTGTTTTCCCAAACGGTCCAAGGTGGATCTGATCAACCATCACAGTTCAAAATCCCACAAACCCTCAAATCGGAAAATCTCTCCATCGAAAAACACATCGGGCCCCAAGGACTTCGGGTAGGGGTTCCTGGGCCTGCTTCACGGCCCGAGACAAGAGGCTCCGAGAAGTAACTTGAAGCAGCCAGACCAGGCTGCTCGGCCCGCCCGGGGGAAGCCCCGACGCCCTACACCCACCAACGAACCCCGGTGCCGGCGCTGCGCAGGGCGGGCCCGAAGTCGGAGTTCGAGTCCTGCCCGGGACCTGGCGGGAGCGAGTCCGCGGTGCCCAGCACGGTGGGGACTCACGAGCCGGCTGTGGTACCGGGTCGCACCCGAGGTTCCGACGGGTGAGCGCCCGGAGAGCGCACTCCGCAAAGTTGGCCAAAGCCGGGAGGGCAGGGCTGCGCGCCACCGGGGGCCCCCGGGGTCCGGGGCTGAGGAACGAGGAACCAGGGCGGGGGGTGGGGAGCGGGCTGGGGGTCGAGGGCAGGGGAATCGCGGCCGGAAAGCGGCACGCACGCCCCCACCCCGCGTCTGCCCTCTCCCCGCAGGCCCGCCCCGCCCCTCCCCACTCCGCGCCCCCGCCCCCTGCCCGCACATGCGCACTGCACCCCGCGATGTGGCAGCCGACGGGGTGGGGGGGGGGAAGAGAGCCGGGGGCGGCCGCCGACGGAGCTCCGCGCCCCTCGGGCCCCGACGGGCGCGGCGTCCCGGACCCAGCCTCCGCGCCCCGAGGCAGGGGGTCTCCGCGCCCGGGGCCCCGGCACGGCCGGGCCCAATGGCGGGGGGCGCGGGCGCGCGGGGGCGGGGGGCCGGCTCCCCCGGCCCGCTCACTCACCTCCGCCATGGCCGTGTGTGCGCGGGAGGCGGCGGCCGCGCCGGGATCCCCGGATGCGGGGCCGCGTGCTCATTGGCTGCGGCGCCCGGGAAGGCGGGGGCGCCGGGCGGGGCCGGGGCGGGGCCGGGGGCGGGGCGCGGGCGGGGCGCGGGCGGGCGCGTAGTAGGTGCGCGGAGCTGGCGGTGCGGGGTGCGCGGAGCGGGCGCGCGGACGAGGATGCGCGGGGCCGCCGCCGGACTCTGGCGTGGGCCGCGCCTGGGCGGCGGGGTGCGGTGGCGTGGGACTGGTCCCGGAGAGCCACACCTGCGCAGGGAGCCCTGTCCCGTTGCCTCCTTCCGATCCCATGGCCGAGCACTATCTGTGCCCCGACTTAGGGATGAGGAAACGGGCCGCCCGTGCGCAAGTGTTGCAGCCAGGATGGAAGGCTGGGCAGCGTGGTTCTGGAACTTTCTGCACTTTTGGCCCGGCGATGACCCACCTAGTGTGCCGCAGAGTCGACTGGGGCTGCGAAAACGTTCCCGAAGACGAGCTTTGAAAAGACGGCTCCCTGTACTGGGAGCCAGTCCTGGCGGGGTGGGCAAGAGGGGAGGACCCGAACGCGGGGCCGTTTGGCTCCGAAGTCGTAGTTGTGGCGTTTAGTTTATTGATTATTGCACTTTCCGAACCCGTGCTAGGCATCGGGGCAGAAATTGAACATGACAGCCCTAACATTTTAAATTTCAGACTGACAAGGTCTCGGAGCATAGAGGCAGAAGGTGTAACAAGAGAGTTGTAATCGAAAGCAAGAGAGGACCGAAGGAGGCCAGTGGCAAGGCCTGGCAGAGATGTCAGCTGGTGACTAGGGTGGAGGGGTGGGGACAGACGTGGACAGCTTGGGAAGGTAGACCCCACAAGACCCCCTGATGCAGTCAAGGTGGAGAGAGCACGAGGATGGCTCCCAGATTTCTGGCCCACATGAATGAGCAGATAGTGGCTCCTACCAAGACTGGGGAGGCGGGAAACCCAAGAGCCTAGTTCCTTTCCCAGCCATCAGCCAATGGAGTACTGAGAAGTTGAGATCCACTAGGCTTGATGCTTAATAAAAAGCATTATCCCGGCCCTCTGAGAGTCTGCCAGCCAGGAGACAGAAGAACCGCCTTTGAAAGGTCTGCCCTGGGGCACCTCAGTTGGGTGGCTCAGGTGGGCATCTCACTTCAGCTCAGGTCATGATCTCACCATTCGTGAGGTCGAGCCCTGCATTGAGCTCTCTACTGTCAGCAAAGAGCCCGCTTTAGATCCTCTGTCCCCCTCTCTCTCTCTATCCCTCCCCCACTCACTCTTGCTCTCTCACTCTCTCTTGCTCTCTCAAAAATAAATAACATTTTTTTTAAAAGTCTACCCTGCCCTTCACAGTTATATGAGTCAGTGGGCTCCCTACTCCTTGTGTTAGATCCACCTCATTCAGGTTGGAAGTTCAGGCACTTGTCTCTGAGAGTCCTCACTGATACCTAGAGCAGTTGGTCATTCATTCATTCATCCATCCATTTATTCATTCAGTTAATCAATAAACTAAGCACATGTCCCCTGAAGCCCTCAACTAAACTAGGTGCTGGGCTTGCAGGGGTCCAGTGAGGCAGGGAGGCAACTGATAGATACAGTGACGACAGGGGGTATCTGTGTTACAACGCATGGCAGAAATCAAGGGAAAGGGTTTGAGTCAGGCTGGGAAGCCAGAGAAGACTTAGAGAGGGCTTGGACAAGAATCATCAGAAAGATGTGAATGGCGCAGGGGGTGGGGGGGGGCGGAGTGGGGGATCCAAATGAAGAAAAGGAAGCTTTTAGGGTCTGAAAGTCTTTCTCCACAGATTGGTTATTACAGTTACAGTGTAGACATGAGGCAACATTGGCTGGCTGATAAAAAATTAACATGGTAGTGAGGGACAGATGGACACCATGTACCTCCCAATGTGCTGCCCTAAGAAGGACACTACATCAATCTGTCCAGGAATGCATAACCTGTATGTATTTGAGAAAACTGCAGACAAATCCTATATAAGGAACATGCTGTTAAACAAAGAATGGCTGTATTCTTCAGAACTTTTACTGCCATAAAAGACCACTTTTTCAGATAGGACAACTGAATGCAACACCTGATCCTACGAGATCTGCTAGTGCAGAAAGAAAGACTACAAGGACCATTACTGGAAACATAACAGGAACATAAATGACGGAATTGGAATTCGGATGTGGATTAGATAAACATATTACATCAATGTTAAGTTCAGTGAAACTGATAACTGTTCCGTGGTTCTGTAAGAGAATATTCTTATTCTCCAAAAATTTCCACTGGAATATTTAGGGGTTAACATAGACTGAATGTGTGTGTCCCCCCCGGAATTCATATACTGAAACCGAATCCCCGATATGATGGTATTTGATGGTGGAGACTTTGGGAGGCAATGGAGATGGAACCCACAGGAATGAGGTGAGTGCCTTATTTTTTAAGTTTTTTAATGTTTACTTATTTTCGAGAGAGAGAGAGAAAGAGGGAGACAGAGGGGAGGGAAAAGGCAGAGAAAAGAAAGAGAGAGAGACTCCCAAGCAGGCTCCATGCTGTCAGCACAGAGCCTGACGTGGGGCTCGATCTTGCAAACCACCTGAGCCACCCAGGCGCCCTGGGGTCAGTGCCCGTGTGACAAAGACCCCAGGGCGCACCCTGCCTCTTCCGTCCCGGTGGCCAAATCTGCTGGCACTTTGATCGTGGATTTCCCAGCCTCTAGAACTACGAAAAATACTCTTCTGCTGTTTATAAGCCACCCGGTCTATGGCGTTTCTGTTAGAACAGCCCAAAGGGACTGGACAGGAGCACGGTGCCGTGACGCTTGCACTTCGGTGGTTCAGGACAAATGATAAAGCAAACGGGGCAAAACGTTAATAGCTGAACCAGGGAAAGCGTATGTGAAGATATTTTCCTATACTTATTCTTGCAATTAGTCTGTATACTTGAATGGTTTTCTAATAAAAAGTAAAAGTAATAAAGCTAAGACTATAAAAAGTTGTGTCTTTAGCTGAGTCTTAAAGGAGGAAAAAGCGGCTGGGAGGGCATCCTCACCGGAGGGACAGCGAAGGCAAAGTCCTGAGAGCTGAGTGAGCAGGACTGGGCACCTGCGAGTGCGCGGGCCCTCCGGGTGCCTGACGGGGAGTGCATGGCCCCCGTGGTCTGACAGCTGCTGACAAACACTCGGGCCCCTCGGGGAGCGGGGACTGGGCTGGGCTGCCCCAGCACCTCAGCCTCTGAGACAGGAAGGGAGGGTAGAGCGTGTGGCTGGAGGTGGGGGAAGGTGAGTCCGGCTGCAGCGCACGGTGGTGCTGGGAGCTGTAGCTCACCCCACTGATCTTTTTCTTACAAGCTTTCCCCGCAGAAAAAGAAGCCTAGCAAGACGCTGGGTGAGATGTTTCCAGAACGCACATCAAGCTGAGCAGTTCTGAGCGGACCGCAGTGGATGCTGTGTGCACCGTCCAAACCCCCCAAACATACAGAGGCAGCATTTCTCTCGGCTGCTAGTGGCTGATGGCTCTAAGCTGAGCGTCTCCCAAGTCTTGCCTTCAGCTGAAGAGACTCCCCCTCCTTAGCAGAGGCTGCCCACACCCAGGGACTGGTCCGTGCAAATGCATAAAGGTCAGCACCCGTGGCCAAGAAGGGCCACTCTGTGGCTCCAGAGGCTCCCTAGGGTCAGCTGAGACCATCTTCTCGGCCCACTGTCCCTCCGTCCAGCCCTGCTTCCTTCACTGCCTGGCACACACCGACCGCAAGGAAAGTCCCCAGGCATCCCCTGTCCATAATCTCTGTCTCAAAGTCTCTTTCCTGAGAGCATATTTTGAAAGACTTAAAGAACAAACAAAAGAAAATATACAATATTAAAGTATAATGGAAAAATGACGAAGAACTAAGATCAAATGTTTGTCCAGTCAGGAGCTGTAAATAGGCCAAACTCAGAACGACTCTCAGAACAGAAGACAGGGCAAATCCCAGTCACGTGCTGTAAAGTAAGGACAAGCTGAATGAAGACAAAGCTAGTCACACTTTTCCACCAATGTATACTTTCTCAGTTTACCAGTGTTCTGGAGGACTCCAAGCTGTAGGGACAGAGAATAGATGAGTGGTTGCTGGGGCGCCAGGGATGGAGAGACCGGCTGACAGCAGAGCAGCATGAGGGACTCTCAAGCGGAGACGAAACTGTTGTCTCTGTCGACAGTGGTGGCAGTTATACAGCCACGTGCCTGTGTCAATGCTCATAAAACTATATCCAGAAAAGTAGGACTATTGCGGTCTGTACATTATATCCCAATAACGCTGACCACAAAACACAGTTGTGATACGCAACATACATGATTCTTTATTAATGCTTTAAATCATAAGATAAAAATTTAAACAGCACTATCGACAATGGCCAGAGTATGGAAGGAGCCCAACTGTCCACCGACAGATGAATGGATAAAGAAGATGTAGTATACATCTTCTACACACACACACACACACACACACACACACACACACACACACAAAATGGACTATTACTTGGCAATCAAAAAGAATGAAATCTTGCCATTTGCAACAACGTGGGTGGAACTACAGCGCATTATGCTAAGCAAAATCAGAGAAAGACAAATATGTGACCACTCATATGTGGAATTTAAGATACGAGACAGATGAACATAAGGGAAGGGAAGAAAAAATAATATAAAAAACAGTAAAGAGGACAAAACATAAGAGACTCTTAAATATAGAGAACAAACTGAGGTTTGCTGGAAGGGTTTTGAGTGGGTAGATGGGCTAAATGAGCAAGGGGCATTAAGGAGGACACTTGTTGGGATGAGCACTGGGTGTTATACGTAGGGGATGAATCACTGGATTCTACTCCTGCAATCATTATTGTACGATACGCTAACTTGGATGTAAATTAAAAATAAATAAATAAATAAAAATTTTTTAAAAAACGTTTTAAACTCAGAAAAGTATCTGGCTACTCATAATACAAAGGGCTAATTTTCATAATTCTGTAGCTAAAGACTTTCTACAAATCAATAAATAAAGACCAAGAGTACTCATAAGAAGATAATAATGTAAACATAGACCACTTAAATTTTATCTTATAAAGATATGTCAGTTTGAAGTTTGTTTTTTTCTGAACTTGTATAAGAACATTAAAACATGAGATGGCCTTTGACCAGAGATCAAACACATCATTTCAGACACTGAGTTAGTTTAAAGCTTTTGTTTTGTCTTGTTTTAAAGGTCCCTGAGGTTGAAAATCCCAGTTCGACTTCCCTTTCCTGGTGGAAGTGCGCCTGAACGGCCTGATTGGCCACCAGCTGCACTGCCACCAAGAAGGGTCTTCACCCTCTGCCTCGGGTTAGGAGTCCATCGTTAGAGTCGCTCATCTGTACTAGCTTCCTCTTGCTGCTATAACAGATTACCACAACATCAGTCGATAAAAAACACACACACATATTATTCAGTGGACAGAAATCAAGGGGCCAGCAGGGGCTTGTCCCCCTCCAAAGCCCTAAGGGGAGAATGTGTTTCCGTCTACAGCTGCATTCGTCCATCAAAGCCAGAGCATGACTGCCTTGCTTTGGTGGCAGAAAAGGTACCTTCTTTCTATGAGGTCAAATTTCCCTCTGCCTCTCTAAAGGTATGTGATAGTGTTGTGCCCACCCAGGTGTTCCAGGATAATCTCTTTATCTCAAAATCTTTCATCTCATCTACAAAGTCCCTTTTGCCAAATAAAATAACATTCACAGATTTCGGGATGTCTTTGGGGCGTTATTCAGAGGACCAATCTGGCAGATTCAGGATACGACCTTGTGACATCATAGGGGTTTGAGTATTGCTTGTTCACTCGTGTTCTTCCTCACAAATGGCTCCTCTGAAAGTCTTCCAGTCCCGTGTGCCCCAGAGCAGCGTAGAAAGACAGCGGGTGCATCCATTTGTTCAACAAGTGTGTTCTGATTATCTCCCTCCCCTCTTCAAGAAACATTTGGGCAGGGTGCCTGGCTGGCTCAGTCCAAGAAGCATGCAACTGTTGATTTCGGGTTTGTGAGTGCAAGCCCCACACTGGGTGTAGAGATTACTTAAATTAAATTAAATCAAGTTAAAATGCATACATATTTAAGCAACAACCGCCACAGGCTCTGCACTAGGCTCCAGCCTCCTGGAATGTCAGTTATCTGTTGATTTATATCATTGTATCATTCAAGAGGATGAAGGTAGGGGTTTATTTTTAACTTTTTACTTCTGAACATCTGTCTAGTTCTGCACCTATAAGTATTCACTAAATATTCTTTGTTATTGAATGATTTAATGTCTTTAAATAACTTAGGGTCTGGTAATAATTTTGGATCCGCAGACTCACAGCTCAGTCCCTGATACTTGGCAGGCTCTAAGGAGAGCCCTTGCGGAGGGCTGGCCCAATCAGGGCACCACAGCACACTATCAGGACCCAGCAAATAGTATGGAAGTGGCCTGGCCAGAATCAGCAAAATATGAGACTTTGTTTAGAGTTTGAGAAAGAGAAAGGATATCTCCCCCGCTGTGGTCAGCTGAATAACAGCTCTCAAAGATGCCAATGTCATTGCCCTGGGACCCAGGACCTCTCACCTCAAACAGCAGAGGGGACCTTGTCAAGGCCCCTGAGGCGGGGGCGACCCTGGGTTCCCGAGGAGCCCAGCGTCCCTACAAGGTCCTCACAAGCAGGAGGCAGAGAGTTGGGTGGGCAGACCCCACGCTGCTGGCCGTGAGGATGGAGGAGGGGCGGTGGGCCAAGGATGTGCCCTCTCTGGAAGCCGGAAAAGGGGGGAGATGGGGCTCCCCGGGGTCCCAGCCAGCGGCAGGGGGTGGGTGGGAGGAAGGCGAGCCCTGCCCACGCCTGGGTGTTAGGACTTCTGAGCCCAGAGCTGTCAGAACAAGTGCGTGTGGTGAGTTAGAGCAGCGCCCCCATCCTGGAGGCTTGGATGGGGGCTGTCTTTCCCAAGCTCTGTGAGTCTCAGTGTCCACCCTTGTAAAATGGACACAAGTACAGCTCCCCTTCACTGGGTCCCTGTAAAGATCAATAAATCATGCAATAGGCATCATCTGGTTTTATTATGGAGGTCAGGTGCATGTGGACACCCAGGAGATTCAGAGGAAATGAGGGAGGGAAGTGGGCATCCGAGAAGCTGCAGAGGGCAGGAGAGAGCGATCTGGAAAATAACAGGGCCATACAAATCGCAGGCTGAATGTAAGCTAAACATTATTATTTTCCTTCTCATCCTCGATTTGGCCATCCACCCTGCCCTCCCGCCTTCAGGCCAAAACACTCAGAGCCAACAACACACAGGGTTAGGATGCACTTGGGTGTTTACTGGGAATGAGATCTGAGAGGCCTGGCCTGGGTCGCTCACACTTTTTTGGTGATGCTCTTGGGGGTGGCTAGCTCATACAAGCGAGGGGATGCCTGAGCCACCAGAGACGCGGGGGAAATGTGGTAGGGGTCGTAGCCCTCGTTGAGGTCTTTGCGCACTTTGGGCTTGGCCAGGGAGACAGTCCGGGGACTGGCCACTGCCTTCTTGGTGACATCCAGCACCTCCCAGCGCGGATCTCGGTCAGGAACACACTGGTCTGACTGGGCCTTAGGCACTGGAGAGGGCAGGAGAGAGGGGCCAAGTCAGGCACTGAGGCCTCAGACGTGTCCCAAGTTCACAATAGATGCACACAACGTGGCCCATCCACCTGCCAGAACACCACTGGGCCGCGAGCAGGACAAGGCGCCCCCACTCGCCACCCCGCGGACAGACCCTGAACACACGACGCTCAGGAAGGGAACCAGACACGAGACGCCATGTGGGGTGTGAGTCCACGTGCGTGAAACGTCCAGAACAGGCTCCTCCATGGACAGGAAGGGGGGGCTGGTGGGGCCAGGAGGCAGAAGGGGTGTGACTTCTAAGAGGGACGGCGTTTCTCTTTAGGGAAATGAAAATCCTAAAATTGATTGTGGTGATGGATGCACAACCCTGTGAATTTACTAAAAACTTTTAAAAGTTTTGTATGTATGCTTTACTTTATTTTTTTACTTAGGTATGTTGAATTGTTCGCTTCAAAAGGGTGAATTGAAAAGAAAAAAAAAATATTTCAAATGGCCACAGGTCCCAGACAGGGGCACACAGAGCAGCCAGCCAAAGGAGGGATCCTAGTGGCCGAGGGTGAGGAGGGTGCCTGGCCGGCCCCTTCACCTCCTCTTCCCTGCTCTGATGCCTCGGTGGGGAGGGGGCAAGCAGACGGGTGTGGGAGGCACCTCCTCTCCCTGGCTGCTGCTGCACGCCTGGTGGGGGCACCAAGGGCAGCTCTCCAGGCGAAGGGCCCCCTCAGGACTCGGCACCAGCCTCCTGGCTAAGGCTCCGCTGGGCTCCAGCTGGGCCTTCTCAAGACACACAGCTTTTTTTTTTTTTTTTTTTTTTTTTTTTTTATTTATTTCTAGGAGAGAGAGAGAGAGAGAGCGCGTGAGCAGAGGAGGGTCAGAGAGAGAGGGAGTCACAGACTGAAACAGGCTCCAGGCTCTGAGCTGGCAGTCAGCACAGAGCCCGATGCGGGGCTCGAACCCACGAACCGCGAGATCATGACCTAAGCGAAAGTCGGACGCTTAACCGACTAAGCCACCCAGGCGCCCCAAGACACACAGCTTTCTGCACTGGGCGCATGGCTTCCACCAGCCACGTGTGACTACAAAGTGCCTGATTGGGGCTGCAGCTTTATTTGATTCAGTTCTAATGAAATCAAACAGCTCATTCAGAATAAGTGATAGGCTGATTTTAATTTCATTGAAGTAGCCACACGTGGCCAGTGGCTGCTGTTGAGGACTCACGGCTCTCAAGAGCAGAGGCCTGTGGCTCAGCCAGGCTCCCTCGTCTCACCCCCAGCACAGGCCGGAAGGCCCTGCTGGTCTGCTCCCCCTACCTCCGCCCCCCCGCCCCCCCGCCCCCCGCCGCACATGGCCTGTCTGGGGACTGGAAGAGAGCGGTCACCGGTGGTCACTGCCTTAGCCCTGGGTCTGTGTGAGCGTCGAGACTCTGGGGTTGGAGGGATGCTACAGCCTCCTTTCCACACCTCTGTGGCCCAGGGCCTGTGTGCAAATGGAAACGGGCCATTTGCTTTCTCAGCAGATCAACCCCAGCTCAGTGGAGAGACCCCCGGTAAAAGAAAACGGGGTCCCTCCCACCAGGCAGGCACAAGTCCACGTGGGGCCTAGGCGGGGCAAGGTCACTAGGGCTGGACAGAGCTGTGCCCGGCAGATGACCTGTGAAGCGACCTGCCCAAAGAGAAAGGCTTCAGTGCTCCTTAGGGCTGGGAGGACCATGCCCAGACCCAGGCTTCTCTGAACGCTGAGAATTCAGGAGCACTCACGCCATCTTGACATCTGGGCTCTCCAACTCTGCCGAGGACATCTTGACAGTGGTGACAGCATCCTCTGCCACACGGCACACCGTGGACACGCACAGAGAAGCAAAGCAGCCACGGACTATGCCCACACCTGCCACACGTGTGCTGTGTCTCTCCTTAAAGTGCTGGTCACAGCGTCACAGCCATTGGCGGGTACAAGTCTGCTGTGTGAACAACACGGCCTCATACCACCCTTCCAAACACAACACACACACGTGTGTTTATATGTACATCTGAAACATGGATGCACAGATACACAAGTGTGTGCACAATTGCATGCATGTTTATATTCCAGATGTGACAGGAATGTGTCACGGTGTGTGACAGGGACAGAGAGACAAGATGGCCTAATGCAGTGGTGCACATACATTCTCACGTGTACATTCACTTAACTGTTCATTTAATGAATATTAAGGGAATGGATAAACGAATGAACAAAGAATCCCATAAGCACAGTTAAGAGAGACAGATCAAGGAAAGGTTATTTTGCCATGTGCTCAACAAAGGATTAGTGATCATCTTATATAAAGAGCTGCTCTAAATCAATAACAAAAAAAAGGGAAATAGGAAACTAGGAAAATGATAGAACAGAGTGAACCAAAATAGCCAGTCAGTCTCGCTGGTGATTATGCGCTTTGACACTGTGGGCCTGGCACGTAACAGACACAGAAATATACTGTAAGCTGTGTTAGGTGACGGGCCCTGTGGAAAAGAGCAAGACGAACAGTGTGGGAGTTCCCAGGCGCCCAGAGGTGGGCTAGCTTGTGGGGCGAGACAGGGCACTGAGGGGCCTCACCAGGGGAACCGAGGGGAGACCAGCCCTGTGGGAGGCGGAGGGGCAAGCCCTGCAGGCACCAGGGGAGGGCCTTCCAGGCGTGGGAAGGGCCGGCGGGGAGACACAAGGAGAGAGGAGTCAGGTCAAGGAAGCCAGGGGACAGGTCACAGGGTCCTGTGCGCACTGACAGAGGCAGGATCCCCGGGAGAGACATGAGCAGAGAAGGATGGAATCTGAAACAGAAAGGGTGGCGCCCAGGGTCAGGCCAGAGGCTGTTGCTCTGGTCCAGGGGTGGACGATGGGTGTCACAGGGCTGCGGGGGTGGAGGCAGCGTGGGAATGCTCGGAAGGCAGAGCCCACAGGACGTGGGGGGTGCTGTGGGAATGCTGGGCAGGGAGAGTGTCTGGAATGGTGCACGCAGGTCTGCATATACACGTGGCCACATGACTCCAGATCTGTGTGTACACTGTGTGTGCACACCCAGAAGGAAACACACCAAACTGGATTATCTTTGGTTGTGGGACTCCTTCTTAGTTATGCTCCTCTGCGCCATCCAGTTGCCTACAGTTCCTGTGTGGTGCTTTTGTCGTTGGGGAGCCAGGTACACATTTGTTTTAGTGGAAAGGGGAAGAATCAGGTAGATGTCATTTTAAAGCTGTCCTTGGACCTCAGCTTGGCTCTTGGGTTGGTGTCTGGCCTCGCGCCCCACCTTGCTCTCCTGCACCCGCTTGTCCTTGCCAGGAGACCCAGTCAAGCCACACGCCCTCTCGGTTCTGCTCCTGGGGAGTGGTCCCCTCTGCCAGCCCCCAGGGGAGCCTGCACGGGCTGCACTATGAATGGTCCACAAGTGTCTGGACCAGTGGTGTGCAGTCTGGGGAGAAGATGAAGGAAAGGGGGAAGTGCAAATCTAGAAGAGGCAGGCCTGGACCCAGGTCTTATGACTGCCCCCCTCAACTCCACAGCCCACAGCCAGTGGGGAAGGACACAGGAGCCTGATAAGGAGCCGAGCCCCAGTAGGACTACTTACTGGCCAAGTGAAGGAGGCGATTGTAGTCTGACATGTGTGGCGTGGGTTTTGGCATGGGGTCCCACTCTTCCAACAGGGTGGCCGGGGCCCTAGGCTTTGCCAGCTGTAGGATCCGTGTGCTGGGGATGGCCATCTGGGCTGCCTTGGATACATGAGACACCTAGAAACAATGACAAGGGAAGAATAAAACAGTCCATGATTCCTCATAGGCCCCTGAGTCAGAAAGACCCCTTTAGTGTTCTAAAAAAAAAAAAAAAAAAAAAAAAAGGATTGGGAAGTTCAGCAGAGGATTAGTAGCTATCATATGTAAAGAGTTCCTTTAAATCGATAACCAAAAAATCAATATGGGTTTTTATGTTTTATATTACCGGGCTAATCATACAGGAGAGGAAACCTAAATGGTGGATAATCGTCTCTGTTGACCAGGGAAATATAAATTAAAACAACAAAACATTACTCCATGCCAACAGACTTGGCAAAAATGAAAAAGCCTGAAAAAATTACCACGCCCAGGCAAGAATATGGGAGGAGAAAAATGTTCATGCATGGCTGGTAGAACAGTAAATCAGTACAAACACTTTGGAGAGCATTTGTCTTTCTGAAGTTGAATATGTGCACACTTGAAGACCACCATATAGAGAAGCCTTACACCAGAGCACAAGGAAATGAGTGATATTCACCGTGGCTGGAATATCATAGCAAACAGTGGGAAGCAACCGGGTTGTCTATCAGTAGGGGACTAGGTAAGTCAGTCACGCTGTACTCTCCACCAGGTGAAACAGTGTTTCTATATAAATCACATGCACTGATCTAGAAAACAAATATTAAAAGGAAAGCAAGAAAGTTAAGATGCCATGTATGCATATGGCTATGATTATAGTTTATGCGTCTATATAATAATAAGGTTTAAAATGATGGATATGAGGCAGAGCCAGAAAGAGCGGGGATGATGGAGAGGAAAACCCTGGCAGACATTTCACTGAGAAACTTGACCCACTTGCTCCATAGATAACTTCTTAGTGTTTTCCAGAGAGTCCAAACACAGCCACAATTGTCTGCTTTGATACTGTACATCAGCCTACACAAACGCAGCACCTAGACGGAGCTCCGTCAGCTGATGGCTAATCATTGTCTGCCCCCGCCCCCCAAAAAGCACACACAAGCATACTCTTCCCAGGCTGCCCTCTCTTTAGTATATGTCCTGCCCCCCTTCTCTCCTGGACTAGTCCCCCAGCCGGCTCCTGCACATGTGCAAACAGTCTGCCTGCAAATGAATCAAAGGGTGGGAAAAATAACGTTCACGTCTGAACGTGACCAAAGGAGAAGATGAACAGGCCACTTCCGCTGCCTCTGGAGAGGGAGGAGGAAGCAAGGGTCATTGTCGAAATGTCTTATCCCTTACAGAGGAGGAGTAGGGCTAAATAAGCCTGTCAAAATGTCGGAGTAGGTCCAGGAACGCTTGTGATTGGTGCCAGTGTATTTGCAATGTCACACGTCACACGAAAGCCCTCTGCACAGTACAATTTTAGCAGGAACCTGCTTGGAAGCAGGGGTTGGCTGAGATGACCTCTAAAACTTGAGTCCCTTTCCCCTTAAAATTGTCTGCCTTAAAAATCACAGATACTACTCCTATCAAAGACATCTTGGTGTTTACAATGTTACATTCCATCCAACCCTCCATTTCCTCTCTCCTTCCCACTCCCTGCCTCCCCCTCCTCCTTCTTCCCCCATGACTGACACGGCTCAGGCCTGACTGCTGAGCTGGACATGAGCCCAACGCCAGGCCTGCCTGGAGAGGTGGGCAACAGGTAAAGATTCACCTACCCACGCCTTTGACGAACACTGATTCCCATTCTGCGCCTCGCCTACAGTAGGACAAGCTCCGGATACTGCCGTGAGAAGCGAGAGAGATGCGCTCCCTGTTCTCAGGCTGCCCAGAGTCTGGCAGGAGAACCACCTGTCCAGCCAGAGACTGTGCTGGGGGCTGGGAAGCTGGCTGACGGTGGGCAGGAACAGGAGGGGTGGAGGAGGAGAGGAGGGTTCTCGAGTACGAAGGGGCTGCGTGTAGATGGCAGACGAGTCCCTAGCAGCAGGGCCTAAGTGGGTAAAGGCTGGAGGACATAAGGTAAAGGCTGTTGACGGACCTGCAACGTCGCCCAACAAGGCAGGCGCGCGAGGGAGGCAGGCAGGGGGCACCAAGCCTTGCGGAGGCCTCACTCCTCGGCCTGGGGATGTGGACTCTCCCAGGGACTGGGCCGTGCCAGGGTCAGGTGCACAGAAGGGAGGAGGGGCAGGGCAGGAGCCCAGAAAACAGCAGGTGCATCTCCAGGTAAGAAGTGGGTGGGACCGGTTGAAAGCACAGTCCTTTGCCCTCCTTTGGATCCTGGTTCAACCAAATTGACCATAAAAGGCCTTTTTGGGGACCACTGGAAAAGTGAACACAGACTGAGAATTCTGATATTAAGGTATTATTGTTAATTTTTTAGTGTGATCATGGTTATTATGGTTGTCAGTTAGAAGTACATGCTGAAGTGTTTGTAAGAGAAACGGTATGACGTCTGGATTTATTTTTAAACATTTGGGGGGGGGCTAGAAAATAACCATGTGGGGGCGCCTGGGTGGCTTAGTGGGTTAAGCGTCCGACTTTCGCTTAGGTCATGATCTCGCGGTTCCTGGGTTCGGGCCCCGCGTCGGGCTCTGTGCTGACTGCCAGCTCAGAGCCTGGAGCCTGTTTCAGTCTGTGTCTCCCTCTCTCTCTGACCCTCCCCTGCTCACGCTGTCTCTCTGTCTCTCTCCTAGAAATAAATAAAAAACATTAAAAAAAAAAAAAAAGAAAGAAAATAACCACGTGAAAAAATCCATCAACATACTCTTTAATGCACATTAAAACCACCGTGAGATACCAGCTTCAAGGCAGCTTTATTTGTGATAGCCCAAACCGGGAAGCAACTCAGACGTCCTTCAGTGGGCGAGTGAATATAGAAGTTGTGGTCCATCCGTGGGACGAAATATGACTCAGCACTAAGAAGGCATGAACTGCTAACATGCTCAAGAATCAGATACATTAGCTGAGCAGCGAGGGCGGCTGCAAGCTCATTCCCGGCACTGCAGAGAATCAGAAGCGTGGGAATGGAGGTCAGTCTGGCCTTGCCAGCGGCAGCCTTCTGAGCGGGCAGAAGACCAGGCCCTCTGAAATGGGCATGCTGATGCCCACATTTGAGCGGAAGGCCTGGGCTCCACCCTGAGCCAACGTGAGTGGGGAGGGTTGTCCCTGAGCAGGCTTCAGGCAGAACAAAGCTCTGTCCTGAGCAGACACTGGTGAGTCCTGTGTGTTCAGCTGAGCGTTGACGTACAGGCCACTCTGGAATCTGTCCATCCTTTCTGCTGCAGACCTCCGGCCCCCAGCCCACGGTTGAAGGGGGCGCTCCAGAGGAGACCAAGGCACCTACCTCAGACATGTTTATGCTCCAAATGTTGTTCCGGATCCTCGGAGTAGCCAGTTCCCTCAGGCGGTTAGAAGCCTGGTATTCCAGGGTCGGGCGAGGAATGGGCCAGATGGAGGTGGTCCTAAGGGACATCCACATTTGAGACACCAGCCCGACCAGGGGCATGTCTGTGTGCTTCTGTGTGTCGTCATCTCTTCTCAACCCATCTCTGATTCAGGGGATAAGGGGCAGCCTCCTGGGGCAGCAGAGGGCTCTGAAAACACCTCCAGGAAGGGATTCATTAAACAATCCCCAAAAGAAGGTTCCTCAGTGTTCTCAAGGATAGAGCTACCCTCTCCCAAGGTCACCCCAGCTCCACGTGCAATGGCTGTCTTCCCATACCGCACTTCCCTGTCCCCCTCCAGGTGACAGCACCTCCCAGGGCCTCTTCCCCACACCCCCGTCAGCGGGGTCAGGAGAGAGGGATAAAAGTGTGTGTCCCACACTCGCCACAGGAAGCCGGGGAAAGTGCACTTGGAGGCCTGCACCTCCTTAACTCATGTCAGCTCTGCCTGTGCCCCTGAAATAAAGCCATGTTTCATCTCTCTAAGACAGACTCTTCATCTTTTCTCATCTCCGAGGTTGGAATGCAGCTTATAAATGCCGTCAGCGAAACGTCAGAAGCTCCCCTGCCTGCATGTGCTCTGACACAGTTATTGGCACTGAAATGGCCTCAGCTGAGTTATGTGCATTCTTGGATTTACAGGTATTAAGTCTAATTGTAGTTTGCGTTATCTTCAGATTACACTATGATGCAGCATTAAAATGAAAAGTTACTGTCACAAAGACAGGCGTAAAGACAGCGTGTGGAACTTGTCAACATCTCTGAGTCAAATAGTGATTCAAAACATTCAGACACATTTCAGCTAATTTATTTTGATTTTTATTTTCCCTTTTATGTGCATAAAAATAGGTAATTAAAATCTATATCTAAATAACTCTAAAGATCACTTTTAACAAACATGAAAGTTTTAAGTGATAAGAAGGAATTGTGTTAAAAGTTGTATGTAAAGTAATGCCTTAGGATTGCTAGCTTTTTGGGGCCAAAAAAAATCCGTAATGGTGATAAGTAACATTTACTGAGCACTTGCTAGGTCAGGCACTATGCTAAGTACCTTTTGTGGATGATCTCCTCCTCCACCCATCCCACAGGTGGAAAACTGTGTCTCAGGAGTCAAGACTTGGGCCCATGGGCCTGCAGCTGGGGATAGCTCTGCCCTGTTTGAAGTCAGGTCATCTACTCCTAGGACCTAGACTCTCCCCATGCTACACCCTGTCAAGGGAAGGGGGAGGTTTTTTGCCACACTCTGCCTTCAGGGTGCCCACCTAGCCTTCCTTTCCTTACCTGTTGTTGTTGAAATACTCCGAGTAGAACCTTTTAGGTCGAGCTAGTTCCTCTACTCGGCGGGTCACCGCTATGCAAAATAGGAAACAGACCCAACTTAAAAACCTGCCCACTCTCAGGGGTTTCCTTCTTGCTGAATCTAGCGTTCCACTGGCTACAGCAAACGGCACAAGATGAGGCACTGAGTGCCTAGAGAGCTGAGCACCAGTTATCTTGCAGAGGAGTGACTTTTGCTGCCCCCATCCTGGGGACAATGGTCTCAGGGGCCTGAAGCCCCTTACTCAGGACGCACAGGATGGGAGCAACAGGGCTGGAATGGGAGCTCAGGCCCATCATCAGTTCCTCAACAGAGCTCAGTGTGGCTCCAACAACCCACTGGCTGGGAAAGTGGATTTTGGCCTGCAGTTAGTACAGGCCTAGGGTTTACAGGGGCTTCATGTTCACTGTGAGAAAGATTCTAAACCCCCAAGAAAGAACCTGCTGTATTACTTCTCTCCAGGAAGAGATTTCTTGAAATGTTTTATTTGAAGGGATCCACTTCTCTCAAAAAGTATGGAAAACATTGCAGAAGAGAAGGCAAAGAGTCTTTTAGTAAATTTAATATTATCCCCCATTTTGGCTGTAGTGCAAATCGGGATTCCCCCTGGAGAGTCTGCTCCATACCCCTCACCCCAGGACCAGCCTCCTGAGGCTCTGGCTCCTCAGCGAACTGAGGCCAGAGATGAGACACCTGGGGGAAGAGGGTTGGGGGATGGGAAGGAGCAGTAGGGAATTCTAGCCTAAGGTTAGGGCTAGGGAAGCCCCAAGGTCTCCTTAGTTGGAGCTAGGCATGGGTTGGAGTGGAATGGGGGTGACCCAGCCCCAGAAGGCCAGGGACAGCATGTCACACAGGGTGGTCAAGCACCAAAGCTGGGACAAGAGCCACCTCTGGCCAACCCCTGAGCTAGGTGACCCCTGATGGAAAAGTGGAGGTGGTGGTTGGGCTCAGCCTACCTGGTACTGTGATTGTGAGGGTGGTATCTTCAAGAAACCTCTCCGTCCAGTACACAGAAGGCCTGGAATACACCGAGGCGTGGCTCAGGATGAAGGAAGCCAGGGCACAGTACAGAGACAGTGAGGCACAGGCAGGGTGGTTGGAGGAGGGAGGAAGGGAAGACAAGTTGAGAGGATGTGGAGAGGGGCAGGTCAGAGAAGCACGTGGGAAATGTAGTTTATTCTGAGCTGGGCTGATGTTCAGAGAAAGGGGAGGTGGAAAACCAAAAGGTGCAGCTAAGGGCAGAGCCCAGGGGCCTATCACAGGAGCAGACCCACTCCTTGGCTGGGTGGACTGGCGTCCAGAACACCAGAGTTGAGTTGGGGAAGGCCCTTGGGGTAAGGAAACCCTCCCATCAGAGGGCCTTTTCCCCCAATCCTTGCCCCTGGAGAGGAGGACAGATCCCCCTGTGGCGGGAGATGGAGGGGCTCCCTGGGACTCACCAGTAGACACAGAACTGCAAGTTCCTCTGGCACGGGGTCACCCAGGCATAGCCCTTACAGCAGCACCCCATCCTGTGATGAGAGGGCCCAAGCCCCTGCCTTTGCTCTGTGGCTCCATTCGCTCAAAGGCCTCACTGTCCTTGGGCCGGTTCCCAGAGGCCACCCCAGTCTCCGGAACCCTGACTTCTCGCCTCCCTCTGTATCTGCCCCCAGGTCATCATGTGAGTCACAGAGAGCAGTGGGGCCGGGGCTAGCCCGGGGATTCACGTGGGGCAGGGTGCCCTCCTTGTGGGCCCCCGCCCCCTGCCTCCAGTGAGGCTTCCCACACACCTCACCTGTCTTTCAAGACTTGCCAGTCGGTCTTGGGCTTTGCCAGCTCAAAGACCCTCCTCCTCCTCTTCCTCCTTCTGGCTGAGGAGGCCCTGGGGAGCCTCTGGGTGATGGACAGCCGTCTTTGGGAGAGGGGAGTGGTAAGCGGGTAGGGGGTCCCGCCCAGTGAGGCTCCTCACCCTCAGAAGGGGCCTCCCTGGGGGCGGGTCTGGCGTCGCAGACCCCTGGGTGGAAGTCTTAACTCCCAACCGGCCAGACGTGTGACCCCATCGGGTCACCGCCAAGCCGCCCTCTGTGAAATGCAAGAGACCTGTTTCCGGCTCATTAAACCTCACGAGCGTGCATTAAGTGCCCACTGTGTGCCAGGCCTCCGGAAACCCGGGGCCTGGGAGGGATTGGAGGTCCGGTGCGCAGACGCCCGCCCGGGCGGAAGCCCTCCCTGAGGCCCCTCCCGCCGGCCTGCGCCACGGCCGGGGTGTGTGTTTACACACGAGCTCCGTGGGAGCGGGGGGGGGGGGGGGGCCCTGCGGGGCGCGCGGGGGGAGCACGCGGGTCCACGGAGCTGGCCCCCGGCCCCCCCCGCCGGAACCGGCTGCGGCCGGGGGCGCCCAGCGCGGGGTCCCGCAGGCGAGCGGAGCCCCTGCTCCTTCCAGGGCGCCACGACCCGCCAGGTCCCCGCAGATGCTCAGGCCGCCGATCACCGCTGTCCCGGAGCCGGTGCTCCTGGGCGCCCCAAGTGCTTCCGGGAACTTGGGGCACTTGGAATGGTTTCAGCTTCCGAGCGGGGAGACGCTCCCCGTTTCTTTCTCTCTCTGACTGAGCCTCCACTCCTGACTTCTCAACTTTTTTTTAGGTTTCGGACGCTAACCCACCCACCACCTGGACAGGGCTGTGTTTGCTGTCTGCCCCCCAGGCCACGCCCGGGCCGCGGCAGGGGCACATGGGGCCAAGGTGGGGCCGCTGCGCTCCCCCCACTGTCCCTGCCCCCGCTGCAAGCCCACCTCATCTCGGGGATGTCCTCCTCGGCATCTTTCTCCGGAACCCTCTCCAGCTGCGCGAGGGCCTCCTCCGGGGCCCTGGGGCCAGGCAGCTCTTCCCCAGTCACCTCCTCTGGGAGGGTCTCCTCTTCCTGGTCTTCAAATCTCAGCTCCTCATCACCCAGGTATGTGGGGGCCTCGGTCCCTCCGCTACTGGACCCTGCTCCCTGCACGCCCCGGGCATCACTGTCCTGTCCCCAGTGGGGCCTGCCTCCCGCCTCCGAGCTGTGGAGCAGACTTTGCCGGTGATCCCCCATGTGCCGGGGCCTCCCCAGTCCTACAGCCTCGCTCCCCCAACACCCAAGTGTGTCTGTGGCCGTGGTCACCCAGCAACGGGAGAATCGCCCACCCGCATTCTCAGGGTCCACATTCCATTCCCAGCAGCTCTGCCCCTCCTCCGGGGGGTGGGGCTCTCCCACGAGGTTCTGGAAGGGGCCACTTACCTCTGGACCTTAGCGCTCTCTGTCTTTTCCTGGCTGAACCAGGACTAGTACCTGACCCCATCCCACATTTGTTCTTAGTAAGAAGCTCCATTTGTGCTCAGTTCAAGGAGCCAGTGCTGGTGGCTGTACCTTCCCATAACTGGTTTAGGACTGAGACCTGAGGGGGAAACCTGAAAGGGGCTTCTGGGAATGGTTTCCTCTCTCTTAAAAGGACACATAAGGAAAAGGTCCTATCTCTTCTTCTCGGCTGCGGTTGGGACTATCCGTGATGTCAGGAGCACAGGCACTCATCCTGTGACCGTGAGGCCTGTTCGTCTGAGGACAGCAAGCTGCAAGACAGGCCTTGGCGGTGGTGCCGAGCCTCTGAACTTGGCAAGCCTGGAGTCTCCTGTGTGTCTGGGCTTCCTGTCACTTGACAGTCAATTCTCTTAGCTTTGAGTTGTAGCTGGGTCTCCTGTCCCTTACAGCCAGAAGCACCCTAACTGATACACATTCTTTGAGTCCCAACACTTCTAGAACTAACTTCAGCTACAGCTGTTGTTTCAAATAGGCTTTCTTATCCATCAGCACAAAATGGCTTGTTGTGATCATGGAAGTGTTCCCGCGACCCCAGCACACTCCCCAGACTCCAGCTTTGGAGACATCTTTCCAGGCCATCCAAGCAACTGCCCTGCCTCACTCCTGCCCAGCATGGCTTTCCCTTTCTTTGCTGGCTGTTTCCTGCTCATTGGATAAGACACAATTCCAGCGTTCCCTCCTTTGCCCCGCCCTGCTCCCCCCCCCCCGGTCCTGTTCTGTTCTGTTCCCCCCAGCAGAGGTTGGTCATCTAAAGGACCCAAGTGAACCCTCCCTGTGCAAACCATCAGGTTGCAAAGTCCTTTCCAGTTCTCCATGCTGCCTCCCTAATGCTTTGCCTCACCGTCACCTGAAGTGGCCTCTTAAATAATGCCCCCCCCCCAAAACGCTTCTAAGGGCATCTGGTTCAATCTGGGAGGCCCTTGGAAAATCCCCTTCATTGGCCTGAAGTGTCCTAAAATCTCACCTTGCACTCAGTGATTTTTTTTTTCCCTCTGGAGTTCAATCTGACCAAGACCCACAGGCACCTTCCACAAAGAGATCAAGTCCATGTTGTTGCAGTTGGAGGGACCCACCATCACTGCAAAGTTCTGTAGGCAAGATGCTTGTTCAGAAACGAGGCTGCTTTAATGGGGGTTGGGGAGGGGCAGACGAGGTGAAGGGAATTATTGACACAAACCTCCAGGTATAAACTCAATCGGTCACAGAAAAGTACGGGGGTTAGGGGGTAGAATATAGTGATACTGTAGTAACATTTGGTGACAGTGACACTGGGTAACGTATGAGATTACCTAACCCCTATGGTCGACACCAGAAACAGATATAACATTATATGTCAACTACACTTCAACAATAAAAATTATTTTGGGACACCTGGGTGGCTCAGTTAGTTAAGCGTATGACCTTGGCTGGGGTCATGATCTCGCGGTTCGTGAGTTTGAGCCCCACATTGGAATCTGTGCTGATGGTCCAGAGCCTGGTGCCTGCTTCAGATTCTGCGTCTCCCTGCTTCTCATTTCCTCCCCCACTTGCACTCTCTCTGTCTCTCAAAAATAAACATTAAAATTTTCTTTAAATATTAAAAATTATTTTTCCTTTTTTTTTTTTTTTAATATTTTTATTTATTTCTAGGAGAGAGAGAGAGAGACAGCGTGAGCAGGGGAGGGTCAGAGAGAGAGGGAGTCACAGACTGAAACAGGCTCCAGGCTCTGAGCTGGCAGTCAGCACAGAGCCCGACGCGGGGCTCGAACCCACGAACCGCGAGATCATGACCTGAGCGAAAGTCGGACGTTTAACCGACTAAGCCACCCAGGCGCCCCAAAAATTATTTTTCTTTTTTTGGAGAGGGGGACGCATATGACACAGAGAAGAGACAGAGGTATGAGGGGTGGGGGGGTAGGCCGGGACTTTCTTGTGGTGGATGGAGTGTGGTGAGGCTGATCCTGATGGCCACAGGCACACGGGTCTGCTGGCCCAGGATGGTGGACACGTGCAGCCCCACATGGAGGGGAGTCCCTCGGCGCTCACACCAGGAGGGCTAAAGCCAGGACTCCTGCCCCTGATCAAGACCTCCCACACTGCCACCTGCCCCCCGCCCACATCCCCCAGAGGTTCTGCAATATCAGGTCAACGTGCAGAGTGGACGGAGCAAGCTCCTGTTCCATCTCCCTGCTCCCAAAATCCATTTAATATATTGTCCTCGGATAGAGGAAGTATCACATGTTAAACAGATAAGAACAGATGCTACAACTGATCTTAGCCAAAAGGCTGAGAAGTGATCAAAATTATTTTTGAAGTCCACTTCCCACCTAGAGACAGCTCATTAAACCTGCTTCACATGAAGTCAAGTCCATACGGTGAAGGCCAGGCGTTCCGTTGGGCTCACAGGAGGAGCAGGGTCTCCAGAGCCAGGCACACACACGACTCAGGAGACGGTGCTGAAGAGGCCGGGACTCCACCAGCTCTCAAGGAAGGGCCGGACAGTCCGTTTCTCTGCCCAGCTTCCTGTGGAAAAGCAAGAAAGTTCACAGCCAAAGAGCTGAAGCCAGGGTGGTAACCTCTGGGTATGCATGATGTTTAGAACAAAGAGCAAAGGGGGACCAGAATGGGCTGAGGTGGGTGGAACTTGGTGGCCGGTGGAGGGGACAGCAGGCGGGGGAGAGGAGGGTGTCTGGCCATGTGGGGTCGGGACCTGGGCTAAGCATAGGGCAGAAACGAAAATTGGATCCTATTGGACTCTGTTTCTAGTGCTACGTAAGCAACCCCAGCAAACGTAGAGGCTTCAACAATAGAAATTCATTACCTGACAGTTCTGGAGGGTCCACGGCGGGCCCCACAGGGCTCAGACCAAGACGTCAGCAGGGCTGGAGCCTGCCAGGGAGGGTCCGTTCCCTGCTCCCGTGGCTGTGGGCCTGAGGTCCCCACTTGTCAGCAGAGGGCAGTCCTGGCCTCCAGAGGCCCCGCAGCGCTGGCCGGGGCCCTTCCTCCCCGTCTGGCCAGCAGCGAGGCCTGCCTCTCCCCTGCTCCTTCTCATGTCCCCGGTCTCAGCCGAGAAAGAGCCTCGGTTGCTAAGGACCAGGCGACAAATCAAGCCCACCTGGATAACCCAGCACAGGTGCCCACCTCCAGGTCTGTAGCCTTAATCCCATCAGGACGCTCCCTTTTGCTACAAAAGACACTGTGTTTCCAGCTTCCCGGGATGAGGATGTGGACGGCGCTGAGGCTACTGTCCTTCCTGCCACGCCCGCCTCACACCACACACACATATCAACTCTGAATGGCTTCAGGATTCGAACGTCAATAAGAAAGATAGTAAACCAAGAGTAAATAGGAAGATGACATGAAGAGACGTTTCACAGAAAACATGAACAGATGACACTCGGTGTCACAAATAATCGGGAAAATGAAGGGAGAACTAATAAGATCACATTTTACATCCATTCAATTGGCAAAACTTAAGACTGACCAGTAAGATGTTGGAGGGAATGACCTCTCTGAGTGATTTGGCCTAACTTTGGAGAACAATTTGGGATCCAGTCATGCAGTTGCATGTTGGTGACAGCCAGCGGCTTCCCTCAGGGGACTCTCCGGGACCTGGGCGGCGGGAGGGCTGTCCGAGGTCGGGCACTCACAGTGCGGGGAAGTGGGGGGGCCCCCAGGAGCGCATTCGCGGGGAAGCAGAGGAGGACCCGCTGGGGGACTCGTGAAGGGAAAGGGCGCCTGTGCGCCCACGAGCCGGCGGTGCTGGTGGGGATCGTGGGGGGCAGGTGGCGGACTCCTTTCCTATCCTGGGATTTTAGGGTGGTCTTTATGTGAGGAAAGAGCGAGCGCCCCAGCGGGCGGCCAAACAGGAAGTGAGACACAAGACAGGGTCCACAGGACACTCACTCGGATTCCGAACACAGGAGAGGGCGGGGGGCCGAGGAGGGAGGAGAGAAACGAAGGAGAGGCGCGATGACCAGCGCTGCTCCCCCAAACTGCCACCACCTAGTTTTCAATAACTTCAAACTAAACAGGGCCTGTAGCGAGAAGACAGCCCATACAGCTACTCACTTCAGAATGAGGACGCGGCGCCTGCGGGGCCCCAGTGCCGGCCAGAGCCCGGCGGGACCCTGCCTGGACCCGGCGGAGGCCCGAGGGCGCGGCGGGGGCCCGAGGGCGCGGGAGGCGCAGGGGCGCGGCGGCCCTTCCGCAGGGAGACGCGGCAGTGACACGGCGGGGCCACCAGAGGTCGCCCCTGTCAAGGGCATGTCGGGCTATACGGGAGCCTGGAGGTTGGAGCCGGGGGCTCTGCACCCCCACCGCCTCGAGGCCCCGCCCCAGTCTTCATCGCTCATCACCCTTTCCTCCGGGAGGAAACTTACTCAGGGAGGCAAAGTCATTGCCTAAGTCTGCACCGGACTCAAACACACAGCGTTGGGCACGAGGCTGCCTCAGGTGGTGCCCCCAGCCAGGACCACATTCGCGAAATTCAGTGGTGACTGGAAATGCCCGGACCTAAGACTATAGATGAAGCGGGTAGCTTCCTCGGGCTGAAGTAATCTCCCTAAAGACCAGCCACAACTATGCTCTCCCCTCACACAGCAACCTTCTGTGGCTCCCCCCTTCTACAGAATATTTCCCAAAGCGGGGACACAGACTGGTATCTTCAAGGTGCCTGCAGCGGGATACAGGCCCAGAGTTCAGTACCATCAAATAAGGTGGTGACAAATCACTCCCGCAGTTCCTGAATTACGATCCTTCTGGGCAGCTCTAGAGGAGAAGCTCAGCTCGCAGCTAGCCAAGGTTGGACTTGCCCAGTTCCGTTAACCCTTTCTTAACCAAAAGAGAGCAGGCCCATGTCTGGGGGGTGGGAGGTAATAAAGGCTGGAAGTTGAGAACCTTACTTTGTTCTTACTGCTGTGTGTTTACATACCTTGTTTCTGGTTTTGTTCTGTGGTTGTTTCAAAATAACCTTCTAGAAAAGTTGCAAGAGTGTACTGAGAACCACCATGGACTTTTCACCCAGATCCACCAACTGTTAACAGATTGACACATCGTGTTATCATTCTCTGTACGTAGGTTTTTTTCCCTGAACAGCTGAAGACAGTTACAAGCATCACTCCCCTTTACCCCTGAAGGCTCAGCATGTATTTCTAAGAAGGAGGATGTTCTCTTCCCTAACCACAGCACGGCTATCAAAATCTGGGTAAAATGTATCATTGTTACAACACTGTCAGCTCATCAAGAATTCTTACCCAACTTTCACAGATAGTCCCAACAGTGTCCTTTTCCACTATTTTTTTCTCCTGGCTCCAGAGTCAGTCCAAGTGAGGCAGCATATTTATGAGCCTCTTTGGTACCCTGTCCTCTGGGACAATTCTTCACTCTCTTTCGTGACCTAAACAATTTTGAAAGTTTGGGCCAGTTGGGTTACAGTGTCTGGATTTCTCTAATACGTTTTGGAGATCAGTGAAGGGATGTGCGTTTTGGCGAGAATCCCTCAGCAGGTGCCGTCCAAAGGCATGTGGAGTGGACACATCTCATCGCTGCTGGCGCTGACCTCCATCCTTGACTCCGGTGCTTCGTCCAGGTTTCTCCGCAGTAAAGTGCCATGTCCTCCCCTTGAAATTAATAAGTAATCTTTTGAGAAATACTTTAGGGCCATTCAAATACTGTTTCCTTTCATCAAACTCTCATCCATAACTTTTACAACTTCTTTCTTTTTATGGCAAGTTGTGCTGCTTTCCCATTTACAGAGAGGATACACTCTTTTTTGTACAAATTTACTCAGGTAACAGACACATGTCAATGTGCTGACATAAAGAAATTCATCCAGCCGTAAGAGCGCAGGTGGGGTGGCCAAAGTAATGAAGTCATGACAGCCACTCAAGAGTGATCGGGACACAAATGCCAGGTACTGTCCTCCAGCTGAGCCTCCAGGCCCCTTTCCCGAAATTCCTCCTGCTCAGTGGGAACATCTGTCCCCAGACTACGGGCTTCCCAGTGGCACTTCCCAACACTGGCTTTGGGGAGGTATGAATGGACCTAGCACAAGCTGCTGGGGCCCCCTTCCCCATAACACCCGGCACCTGGGGGCATCTATGAATCTCCTGCAGCTGCTATAACAAATTGCTCCAAAGGTAGTGGCTTAAAACACCACACATTTATTCTCTTATGGTTCTGGGGTCAGAAGTTAACTCGGTCTCACTCGGCTAAAGTCAGGGGGTGGGAAGGGCTGGTTTCCTTAGAAGGCTCCAGGGAAGAATCCCTTCGCATAGATCCAAGAAGCCTGGCAGGGATGTGGGTGACGATTTAAAGAGGAGCCACATCAAGGAGCCACCACTACCACCAGTACCATCACTGTCACAGACTGGAGCAGAGGCTGCCTGAGGGCAGCGGGGACTTCAGCGGGCCTGTCCAGAGAGCCGGAGCCACAGAGGTGGCACTGCCTAAAGCCAGAAGAAAGGGGCAGGGCAGAGGGTTCTCCAAGGTGTTGAGTTTTCTCCATAGTACCGAGCAAGGCAGGCTGGGGGGCGGGGACCAGGGTGCAGATGGGCCAGCGACCGGCACTTGCCAGCAGTCCAGATCACATGCTCTGCTCTGTTCAAGGAAACCTCAGTGATACTGAAATCCTAAATCCTTCGCTGCGTGGTAGGGTCGTATTTTGTTACAATGATTAGGGGAGCCTGGGTGGTTCAGTTGGTGAGTGTGTCTGACTCTTCTTGGTCTCAGCTCAGGTCTTGATCTCAGGGTCATGAGTTCAGGCCCCGTGCTGATCGCAGGGTAATGAGTTTAAGCCTACTTAAAATAATAAGAATAATAATAATAATATTAAACGTGTCCCCCATGGTTCCATATTTTCCAAAACTTTGTGACTATGGGAAATCAATTATACAGGGGCCCCGATGCTTCACCTGCCCTCTACCCATACCCTTTGCCACATGACTTTGGAGGTCTTACTCTGATACAGACTATATTTCTCTGCCCCATGACTGGCTTTGACAAGCAGAAGGTGGAAGATGTGGCTGTGCCTGTCCCAACCCTCGGGTGTCTCCATGTGCCATTGCTATGAAAGCGAGCCTGCTGGAGGGTGAGCGACACGTGGGGCACAGCTGAGCACAGACAGCACAGACAGCGCCCTCTACTGAACGCCACATCCCAGGTGTTGTCGCTGTCTGCCTCACCGTGGTTCTGTAGCAAAGCCGAGGGATCTAGAGCCCTTCCTCCCTCTGGGCGGTTGGACCATGAAGTATCCATCACATCGTGGAAGGGACGTTCCAGGCAAGACAGACACAGGC